TCAAACAATAAAAATGCTTAGACAATTTTGTCAAAGCTCTACACAATATACATGGTAGATATCTAATGGTTATACTTATTTTTAAAAAATGATATCATAAATTAATCGGACAGTAGATAATCGGACGATCAATTTCAAAAGAATTAATGTTTAGAAAAAATAAAATAACTAAAACAATGGGGCAATCAAGCTGAAATGAACATAATGTTACGAAAATCATTCACAAACACGTTCTAACTATTTTTGTAATTGGGAATGAAGTAAATAAAACAATGGGAAATCGAGGCTGATAAAACTATAGAGAAAAACCAAAAAACTCTTGATTATTTATTATTATATATATATATATATCCCCTATTCACCTATTGAATTAAAAAAAAAAACTCTCAATCCATTTTTTAAAATTTATTTTACCCATGCATAAAACTAATCCACTTTTTTTTTTTTTGTAATTACTAATATTAGCGTCTTTCTACAATACCTATTTTAAGTTTCAATCCTTCAAATTTTCTCCTATCCGCGCCGATCCATATTCACATTTCTTTAACTCAGACTCAATAAAAAATTCATCAGAAATAAAAGATTTAGAATCAATTTCTCTCTCCCCCCTTCTTTTCATTTGATAAAATTTGTAATAATGGGAGGTCACTTGAGGATTTTTAAGCTACTGGTAGTTCAGATGCATTCAAAAAATCTTCTACTTTATACAATATACGGAATCTTACCATCAATAAACATTGTGATTTAACTCTCAAAAACTTTAAATACACACAAAAGTAGTTTAGTGTAGTTGGAATGGTTAGTTACATTAGGCCTCTTAACTTCAAATATTACTCGGTTTATATATCAAAAATAAATATTTTATTTGACTGGTCTAATTTAACCGATTAAGAGTGTTGTATCGTATATTTTTCCCTTTTTACTTTTATATTAAACAACTATATAAAATAGCTATGGTCAAATTTAAATTTCTTAATTATTTAATTTAGTAAAATTACACCCTGATAAATTTTTTGTTGAGAATTGTGTCGCTTAACATGGATCAAATAATATAAAATGAAAAAATAACATAAAAAATAATTATAGTTACTGTTCAAAGTTAAAGCGAAAGTTTACCTTTTAAAGCTAAATTCGAGAGCGTATAAAATGGCGATCGAATCATAAAATGGGTTATGATGTTACAATTTTCACCAATTAAATGTTCAATAATATAGAAAATGAAATCATTCATAATCGCGTTCTGACTATTTTTTAAAATTCGAATTAAGTATAATAAAACAATGAGAAAATCGAGAGCTAGTAAAACATAGAGATAAGTTTCAAAAACACATCTAAACTATTCATTTTTTTTAGTTTCATAATTAAACTTTGGAGAGTGTGAATTTCCTATCTAAATTATCACTTTTTAGTTTGAGAAACACTCATCAGTGGGGTGTATAATGCGTTTTCTCTTTTATTTAAAAAATTTTGACACATGACATTCTACATGCATAAACTTCACCATGATAAAAATTAAATAATAAACTATTAATTAAAAAATTAAAGTATTACTATTCATAAAAAATTATTTTTTAAAAAATAATATATGATTTTTAATTCTTACCCCATTCCACCACCTCCTTCCGTACTCCTCCCCGACAATCCCCCATCCCTTTTTTTAAAAAAATCTTTTATAAAATATTTTAAAAAAAATTCATACTTCACCCTCCCGAAAAAGACCACCACCAATCATCCCTCCTCCATCCCCCCCCCCCCCCCAAAAAATTGATATTATTTTATTTTTAAAAAAAATTAAAATTCCATCTCATCCTATTTAATTCTCCGCTCCTTTTTTTTACTTACATTTTTTTCATTTTGTGTTTGATATGTATGTATATATTTTTATAATTTTTTTCTACTGGTGTATCAAATATAAAATAAAAAATAAAAAAATATAAAAGTCTTGTGACGGCAAGTAATATATATAAAACACAAAATGAGAAAAACATATTGAAAGCGGAGGTTAAGTGGGATAGGTAAAATTATTTTTTTAAAAGAATAAAATAATATCTATAGTATTTGGGGGAGGGGACATGAAGGAAAAAAACTTAAATACTTTTATAAAAAAAAAATAGTTGGGGGGTGGGGGGAGGAGCGTCGAGAGGAAGTGATTGAGTGAGATAAGAAAAATATTTTACATTTTATTTTATAAAAGAAATATTTTTTTGGACAATAATTTTTGAATTTTTAATTTTAATTAATACTGATAATTTTGTTAAGGTTGAATGTTTTGTGCATGTGATATGACAATAGTTAAAAGTAAAAGAAAGAGTGTATTACACACTATGACGAGAGTGTTATAAAAGAGAGATGTGTTTCTCAAACTAAAAAATAATAATTTAGATATGAAACTAAAAAAAAGAGTATTAAGTTTTGTGTATATCGCGCAATAGTTTTTGGAGTCTCCTTCATTGTTAGAAGAAAAAGAAAACCTTTCCTTATATATTTATATTTTTTTATAAGAGTTTTGTTAAAAATAAATATAAGATTAATGATAAGTGTTGTTATAAATAGTGTTCCTAAAACTGAACCATCAATCGGCAAGTAAGAGAGAATGGCAAATTGTGATGGGAGAAGGATTGCAATAATTGGAGGTGGAATTAGCGGTCTCTTGGCCTGTAAATATGCAATTTCTAAAGGATTTGATCCAATTGTGTTCGAGTCAGAAAGTAGCATCGGAGGTGTTTGGAGCAAGACGATTGAGAGCACTAAACTGCAGACACCAAAACCCCTTTACCAATTCTCTGATTTTCCATGGCCAGATTCCGTAACCCAAGTGTTCCCCGATCAACACACCGTGTTGGAGTACATTAAATCCTATGCACGTCACTTTGATTTGGTGAGACACATTCAGTTCAATAACAAAGTATTGAGCCTTAGCTATGAAGATGAAGATGATAGAGAATGGATGTCTAAAGGCAAATGGAACGTCACTGTACAACAAACTCAAACCCTATCCACAAAGGTAACCCTCAAATAGTTATGCTTTATCATAAATATCTATTCAATTCATTGAGATTTGGATAAAAAATTTCGCCCTAACTGAAGCATCAAATTCTCATAGAATTACCAAATATATTTTGATTTGTCAAGAATGATAAGTATATTTGGAATTCTATTTAATATTATAGGTTGGATTTTATTAAATAAGATCTAAGATAAAAATAAAATGGAAGTCTTTTTTTAGGTATACCAAGTCGATTATGTAGTAGTTTGTGTGGGAAGGTTCAGTCAAGTTCCAAACATTCCTGAATTCCCTGAAAACAAAGGTCCTGAAGCTTTTGAAGGGAAAGTAATCCATTCAATGGATTATTCAAAGATGGACTCCACAACTGCAACCGAATTTGTCAAAGGAAAACATGTAGCGGTCGTTGGATTCCAAAAATCAGGACTGGACATTGCCATGGAGTCCTCCACAGTAAATGGTATCAACAAAATTCAATTCTTCACCTTTTGTTTTCTTCTCTTGATAAAAAATCAATTCTGCAGGGGTTGAACGTCCGTGCACCGTAGTAGTCAGGACACCACATTGGAACGTTCCTGATTATTTCCCTTGGGGATTCCCAATGGCAAAACTCTATTTGAATAGATTCTCAGAACTTACAGTGCATAAACCTGGTGAAGGCCTTCTTTTATATCTCATTGCTACAATTCTCTCGCCTCTGGTAATTTATTATTAATCTTAGTCTAATGTACTCTTTTATAGTATCTCATTGCTACACATTTTACAGAGGTGGGGCTTCTCAAAGTTTGTGGAAAGCTATATAAAACACAAGCTCAGGCTTTCAAAGCACGGGATGGTGCCAGATCATAGTTTCTTAAACGAATTGAGTGCCTGCTTAATTTCTACAGTGCCTCAGGGCTTCTACGACAGAGTTGAGGAAGGACGTCTCAAACTAAAGAAAGCCAAGAGTTTTGGATTTACCAAACAAGGCATTGTGCTAGAGGGTCAGGCTGAACCCATTAAATCTGACTTAGTCATACTCGCCACAGGCTTCAGGGGAATTGATAAGCTCAAACACATTTTTGAATCACCAAAATATCAGCAACTCATAGCAGGCTCAGATGATTCTGCTGCAGTTCCCCTCTATAGGTAAGTAATAATATACATAAAAACAACACTTTTTTGTATATATGAATAATAATGGATTATTATTATCAGGGAATGCATTCATCCCCAAATTCCACAACTGGCAATAATTGGATTCTCAGAAAGCATAGCAAATCTATACACCTCAGAAATAAGGTGCCGATGGCTGGCAGAGCTTCTTGATGGAAAATTCAAGCTGCCTAGTGTAAAGATGATGGAGAAAGACATAGCTGAATGGGATAAATACAAGAAGAGATACTCAAAGAAGTACTACAGGAGATCATGCATCGGTGCTTTGCATATTTGGCACAACGACCAACTCTGCAAGGACATGGGCTGGAATCCTAAGAGGAAAAAGGGTCTTTGGGCTGAGTGGTTTGAACCATACGGACCAATGGATTACACAGGCCCAATATAAGATCATCATCCAACTTCCCCTTTCACGGGCTTTCTCTTTTGTTTTTACTTCTTCCTCGTCCTTGTTTTACAAGTGTGATTTCTCATTTCTTTTCTTCTCTCTTCATTGCAAATAAATTCCACCCACCAAAGACAGCTTCACATTCATTCATGCTGTGTCCGTGCAACACTTAAGGTAGAATGACAATACAACAGTGTTGTTCTCGCAGAAATCAACAGGTAGGCTTTAACACAGAGAACCAAACACTACAAAACTCATTGAACACATCCAAATTCAACAGCTAGTTTGCAAGAACATTAGGGATTGATTGACCTCAACAAATTCAAGGGATGCTAATTAACCTTCTTTCGCTCTAGCAAAGCTGAATTCGAACACTTTCCTCTAAAAGCAAAAAAATTACATAATAAATAAGGAAGTTATGCCGATAAGTAATGTATATACACATGTTTCAACTTATGTACATAGGACAGACCAAGCCGCAAGGCATTATTGCAGTCGTGATGAATCTTCGAACATCCACCACCACCCAGAAAATAACTTAAAGTGGGGGGTAGTGTAAAGGAAAAACAAATATTAAGAAAGCAAGCACCCATGGAGAATAGAGACTCGGTAATCCTATTTTCAGAGAAAAAGACAACATCCAAGAAAGCTAAGTTATAATCATGAATATGATAGGAGGTGTCATGGTCTGAAATCTAATCCACTCAACTAATAACCTGAAAGAGAACACAGAATAAAGTACAATTAATAAACAGAAAACAACATTTATCAGCTGACTAGCAGCACTGGACTATCTTAAAAATTTCAGATGAATAATATTGGATACAAGGTAAACGAAAAATAAAGAAAGAAAAAGAAGTCAATAAATTATAATGGCATTGTGTAGTTTAAAAATGATAACATAGCTTTGTCCCAGTTAACTAAAAGCATCTTATTACTTTACTTGAATACACCAAGTACTCGGTTAAAATTTGGTCATTGTGCATGGGTAATTAGTTCATCATCTTTTCCAAGAATGACAGAAGCAGGATATTCATTTCTTAGTACTAAGATAGCAGACCATCATTTCGAAACTGCATCAGATAAAACAACTGGCGGACATCCCTATATTTTCAGGCTTGTCCTAATTAATTAGTTATGCAACTACTGTAATACAGTACATACAGCGACTGTCATGCAGAGATAACAAGGTAGGAATTTGTTATGCGGGGGATGAAGAAGTTTCATCAAAATTTTGTTGCTATACCTTCAAAATGAGAATTCTACTAACCTTAGCTTCATTTGCATCACAATGCAGAAACCACCAAGGACTTCTCTTTGACAATAACCTGAACGTAAAAATGCTTTGTGATAAAGCATGTAATATAACTGGAAATATGAAAATTTCAGATATTCAAACTACTAACACAAGCAGTGCTCATCCAGAGTTCCTAAAACAATACACATATCTAACATTAACTCGATAAAAACCTCCAATCGATAACGACAGTGTTTATTGCTGAATCAATGGAAATACCTCCCAGAACACAGACAAAGAACAGTACAGATAGCATCAGAAGAATCATGTATCGAAAAAATGGAACCACATACGTAATCCCGCAAAAGCACATATCTAGTTGGCATGCATAAAGGAGGAAGATGGCGGGCATCCATTACCTGATAAACCCAGCCATCATGCGTAAGCCCATGAAAAGGGTCAATCCCAACCAAACACCAGGAAGACCAAGAAGTCTAGGAGCACAAAGCAGAAATCCAGATGATATTGCCCCCACCAACATCTGTATGCCAAAGAACGAACACGACTTCTGAATATAAATATATATACTTGATAAGTATTGAATCATAATGCACTACAACCTTACCATGGAGTGAGCTGCATAAGCGAAGTCTGAAACACCATAATGGAGGCCATCAAAGATAAACGCAAGAGCATTTATTGGTTGACTGGCACTGACAAACTGCAGCAATTTTGCAATTTTACAATTTTGAACTTAGTTTCTGAGCAATAACTGAACTCTTTAGAGAACCATTCGAAGATAAGAACATCTTACTCATTGGTAAATCACTGACAAATTAAATTTAACCAAATACTCCCAAAGGTTTAAAGACATACCAATAAACCTGTACTAACCACAGCTAGCACCTCTGTGTCCTTGGTAAATAAAGTAGATAAAGAGCCAAAAGAAACACCTAATGCAGCCGCTAAAAAGACACCTGCAACTAGCCCTATCTGCAAATTATAGGTCCAAACTCCTTATAAGTAGTGTAGAGTGTCTCACAAACTTCCAGAGCTCAACGGCACAAAACAGAAGGGAAGCACAAACCTTTAGAACATAGTGTGTAATTTCAGTTGCCACCACGTAATCTCCTTTTGATAAATAACTAGCAATCAACGCCTGGAAACAAAGTAAAGAGAAGTTGCCCCAAACTGAAAAATTGTGATAAGATGCAAGAGATCAACTATTAATGGTCGAATCCTATAATACATCATCTGACATATGGTATTTGAAAAACTTCGAAGCACCAGAAGTAGTTGCCGATTCAAACATGAAGCACACACCATAAACAAGAAAAAGAATTGACATAAGCATATGGGATAAATATACATGCAGAAAAAGACAGATAGGTTCTGATGTAGGAGGTACATGAGAAAAAGAGAAGTTACGAGTTGAATTAGACCCATAGGGATAAAGAGGATTTCATTTCTATCAATTTACCTGTGCAGATGCAGCCAGTGCATCTGTGAGGAGGGAGACAGCTAGCCAAACTTGTAAGCATATTTGGTGACCCGCCATTGCTACAGCACCTTGACGGGCAGCCATTGATGTAGCAAGTGTCATTGTGAAAAGGACAGAAAGAGTTCTTCCAATGAGAAATCCACCTATAAATACAAAATTAGAAGAACCCTTTAACTGTCATGAAAAGTATACTGATATGAAATGCAACAAACATCAAGAGATTGTTGTGGCACAAAGCACAGAGGTGAGCTTGTTTATCAAATAGGAGGAATCTTGGAACACACATCTCAAGAATAACCACTCACCAGATTTTAAATAGCCACCAAATTGCAGCTCTTCAAATCGTGGAGGTAATATCATTACTCTCTGATTTAAATACCACATCATAGAGAAGGCCACTAGGTATCTAGAAAATTGAAGCTTGTAAGTATTTCATCATATAAAGGTAAAGAATTGATAAAAAGAACAAAAGTATAAGACAGTAGAGAAGAAAAGCAACATGATTACAAAGACTATAGAGAAATACGAACTGTGAAATGACAGTGGATATGGCAGCTCCGGACACACCCAAGCCGAAATAGTACATAAGTAAGGGAAACAAAAATATAGCTGCAAAGTTCCCAATGCCTGCACAAATAATATGCTACATCATTACAAAGATACAACTTAGCTCCATTAATATATCTAGGAACGATACAGAATTGCATTTGTAATTACAGCAAATTGCATTTACAAAAAAGCTTTAGATTTTATCCCCTCCGATTTTACTTTTTCATCACAATATTATTATTTTAGGGATCAAACATAGTTTACATGACAGTAAGTTTACGAGTACATTAAGAATAAAAACATTTTTTTATGTAGTATATAAATAGTATTCTCTAAGAATTTAGATCCAAAACTGGGGATTATAAAAGGAAATATTTCCATTTCCACCTTCATACGTATACATACTGAACATACTCAAGTGCAAATAAGCAATTAAGAATACAGTGATTAGAGGAGAAGATATATATCTTAGATGACAAAGGTGTTCCGGGTTAATTAGAACGTTATTGAAGGGAAAATTGTCTGCCACAAATTTAGGATACCCAAAAGTTGGAATTTCTATGTCAAAACCGCATAAATGAAACCAGCAGAAAGGATATTGGGCAAGAACTATTATCACTTAAATAGCCAACGATCCAAGACTTGCCTAAACAGAAGACTGGAGTCTTTGTATCCTTAAATCCACGGAATATGCCTTGAAGGGCCAAAGAAACTACAAATGCAGGAGCACCAAGAGCACGCACAGCAAGAAATTGTTTTGTTGGAACTCTCATAGGTGAAGTCTACAAACAAAACAATTTTTGTAGTAAGAACTCATACAACAATGTGTGTCTGAAGGGCCTGCATAGTGAGAAGAAAATTGTGATGAAATATTTTAGAAAGCCACGAATAACTTTGTTATTTTCCTAACCAAACATAGTCTTATAAGTCATCAAGATTTTTCTCCTCCCAATAACCATGAATCTAGTATACGAATCACAAAATAAAATTAGCTAAATAAAAAAAGAAAACTTAAACCACTCAGTTGCAAACATGAATTACAAAAATGAAAAACTGAGACAACACAACTTAGTCAAACTAAATAGGTTTTATGTTCCTTAAGATGGAACTCACTATATTATTTCACACTATCAGATTATTAGTAGACATCATCAAATTTCACAGGTTGATATTGAAGTTGCAGCCTAGCATAATAATTGCAACTTCACTCTGCAAAGTGGTGCATGCTACCAATTTCATAAAGGTCTCTCTCCATTCACTTCTGTTTTCCCGATTATCAGGCTCATCCCTCCGGGAAAAAAACGAAAAAGTAGAATTAAAAAGGAGTCAGTAAAACCAAACAAACTTTGTCAGGCTAAAACAAACATAAAAGTTGTATGAGTTGTAAATTAGCCAGGATGAAAATGGTCTCTTGTGACCCTTATTTAAAACTTTTCATTCTTCAGGATATTATGTTCACTCACGTGCTGAATACATACTTCACACAAATTAAAGCAAGCACAAAAAGAAGGAACTCAAATGAAAGACTGGGTAAGTGATATATGCCACCGTACAGATGATATGCCCATTAAACCAAGAAGTAGTTCAGATCCCAACGCCAAAGCCAAAGCTTCAATTATGCCGATGCCAACAGCTAAAAATAATGCGGTAGACACAGAAGAAAACTGATGCCTTTCTGCTACCCCAGTGGGAAATCTACCATCAGTGCCTTTTGCCCCCTCTGCACAATGTATCGACAAATGTGCGTTATAAAAGTTGGAGCATGAGTCCTAAACCTTTTAGTGGGAAAACCAACTCTGGGTCAGTTGAATACCTAAGCAGTTATAACAATGAATGAGAAAAAGTTAACACTTGATTTACCTGACATGTTAACTTTGGTTGCATTCTTGGCGATGTCTTCAGCGACAAAAGATGTAGCAACACTAAGTAGAGGAATATTAAAAAGCTTTGATATTATGTTAAAAATTGATATTGAGACACCAGCTGAAGCTAATTCCACAGAACCTGTAAGAAAAAAATAACTCCCAAGCTTCAAAAAGTAACAGGAAAGAAGAAGGCATAAAAAGCCAACACTCCCTCCGCCCCTGCATGGTACCCCTCATAAAGGAAAATGGGAAAAACCCAAATAACCCACATCCAGCTTCACTGGACACGATGAAGAAAATCAAATTCTTTTAAAGAATACAGATAGGGAATATTATGTTCTTCTAATATCACAAGCTGAAGGATAGCAAACATTTTAAATAGTATAGAAACTAAAGTACATCTGGTAGCCACAACAAAATTAGTTAAGTTATATATGTTAAATCGGTACAAGCATAACCGTTATGCCTACACCATAACAGCTAGCTACAGAAACTACTAGTCCTCATTTGATGAACTACCACCATCAACGAATTAAGGGTCGTCGTTAATATAAGATCCTAAATTCTCTTCCTTAACGACAAATTGATGCTAGTCATTGGCATAAGTTTAATATAAGATCCTAATTTCTCTTCCTTAACGACAAATTGAAGCTAGTCGTTGACATAAGTTTCCGCACCACCCCCCGAATAGAAGATTTTTGTACCAGTTCATCTGTGATCTCAGGGATTCTAAAATTCAACCAAAGAGTTACATAAAAATGCTGAATGTGCAAAAGTTCCACCTTACCCAGGCGCCCAATATAAGCAGTCTCCATTAACTGTGCCAAAGGGTCAATGGCCTGTCCAGCAATTGCTGGCAAAGACAGCATCACAAGCTCACGCCTGACATCCTCAGATTGAGATGAACTTGTCGGAGCCTCTTCTATTGATTCACTTTCGACATTTGTTATAATGGGAACAGTCTCATTCAACTCACTGAAGCCAACAAAAGGATTTGAAAAGAACAAAACTAGATCAGCAGAGAATGTGGACTAGCAACATAAGCTGACTTGAAAACCCTCAAAAAGACAAATCCGTAATGCCACTTTGTCAAGATTTAACCACATAACCGCAATATATATTGTAGTCATTAGAATATCCATATAAAGAATTAACATGTAAACATCAGTATGTTGCGTAGAATACATATTAGGGTCAGTTAAGATCTCTAAATTTCATTAATGAACCTAACCTCTACAATAATTACTTTGAAAATGTGTAATACAGAGACAACAAGTGTGAAGGCTATATAATTTCAATTTTTTCATAGATGCTAAAGTTCCCAAGCCCAGACAATTAAGACAACAACTGACTGTCCTTGCCCATCTAGGATGGCCTTTAATTGAGATACCAAAGCTAAAAGTACCAAGATCGTGGACAAGTAATAACCCTGTTACAACAATCTTACTGTAAATATTCTGATGCAAGATGGAAGTAAAAGCTACATGCTAGATACAATGGAAACAGGAAAGCTTAATAAGGTGCGGGAAAGTGCACTTGTTAGTTCCGACCATCATCAAGGGCAGCACCAACTTCTCTTTTTTGAGCAAACAATTTCAATGTCAAGAAGCTTTGTAAACTGTAAAGTATTAACTATTTCGGATACTAAGATAACTTTTTATTTATTTGGGGGGGGGGGAGCGGGGGGGGGGGGGGGGCAACAATCTACTACAACATACCCAATGTATTATCACAAATGGGGTCTAGTAACAAGCTACCTCAGGAAAATATCTACTGATAGATTCTTTTTTTGTTCTGCCAAATCTAATAAGATCTTACTTCGATACAGTTCATAGTCACAGGAAAAACACTCCAAGTTAGACACAGAATTGAAGAAGTGACCCTGACAAAGGATTTAGTTAAAACAACGTATGCACATAACAATGGGGAATGACTGCTAGTAGGCCCCTAATCATGTCTGCCAAGCATCAGAAAAAGCTACAATCCAGAAAACTTCAGTAAGATCAGGGTCTTACTCTACTTCTCCCCTTGAGCTTGAGAGATCATCCATTCCCTTTACAGCAGTGGTATATTGCAAATCAGAAGTTTCCGCACCACTCTCTGAACTGAACTTATTGCGGAACCTTAAATATTTCTGCTTCCTTGGGAAAAGAACAGGTGCATATGAAAATCTTTTGCTTTTTCCAATTGATAAAGAACAACTGTTGCTACCATAAACATTTTTCAAGCTATTCTGACTGATTCTTGAAAAGGAACTAAAATGGCGATGTGAGAATCTTAACGAGCAGCATTTGGAAATCTCCTCTTTCACTTCCAATTCAGTAAACCCATTATATAACGCCTTACTGGTCAATTGTGCAGCTGCCATTTTTATAAGCTGGTGTGCCTCACTTCATAATCTAAGTAGAAGAACCTGATAGTCATACAAAAACTTAAGAATGAATATATTGGAATACAGCAACTGAAGAGAGTAAAAAACATAAAGAAGAGGGAAAAAATTTCAGAAAAACAAGATACTCTCCCAACTGTTTAATCCTAAAATTGGTACCACTTTTTTGTTTACACTTTGTTTGAATGATTGTTACATATTTAGTCATAATGTAACTAATGTATTGTCTCGTATTATATCGTTCTATGTCGTTACATAATGTCACACGTCCATAATTTAAATGATAAACTTACAAAAGAAACTAGGGTAGATGTAATAACAACTACTAAATGTAGGGTAAATGATAAAATAAAATTATTAAATAATAAGTAAAAATAAATAAAAAGAAAATATTAAGGTAACGACATGACCATACTTAATGGCTTGTTACTCGTAACGAAATAGGCAATTTCGGCATTACCTAACAATGGATTAACTATTGATGCAATAAAGTTAAGTAACAATCAAAACAAACATTATATAAAAACTAACAATACAATAAGGTATAATGGGTAAAAACAGGATCCAAAGAAGTGATAAAGTGCAGCACATTAATTTCGTAGAACAGGACTGATTGTACAGTTGAAGCTATACCGTGTAAAACTTTTTTTTTAATTGGATGAATTGTAGACTAGGATGATATGTTTTGATAAATGTAAGGTGGCAACCCTTTTCAAATGTAAATTAGGATGGTATCTTCCAAAAAAAAAATGCAAATATGTTAACCTAAAATTCTGTGATGAAAGCAGATAAAAAAAAAAGGCGAGGCGAACCCCCAATAAATACTCTCGTATTTGCCAACCGCAGCAATGGTGGTACTCAAGTTAATAAAGGTAGGCGGTGATTTGAAGAAAGATGAAATACAAATAAAAGGGGAATTCAGTGAAACAAAATTGAGTATGATACCTAGTGAAGAGCCTGCCGCCGGTACAGAAGGGAAGGGGCTAACCAGAATTATACTAAGGAAGAAGCAGAGTCGATAAAATTCCTCATTTTGCCTTTTAAAATCTTAATATTACTACTTCTAGTCGGCTCCTCTTTCTTTCTTTTTTTCTTTTTAAGGGGACATCATTTATAAGTCCCTTTCTAAAATCAGTTTATTTTAAATAGTAAAATACTATATATGAGTACTATGTATTTTTAACTACAATTTTCACATATAACAAACACAAAATTTATATTTATATACTATAGTAAAATTTGTATAATTGTGCTACATAGCAAATTTATATATATATGTAAAATTCGTTGTACATATATAATTGAACCAAATTATACAAAACGAGAAAGAGAGAAATTATATAAAATTTGAATTGTATAAAACGAGAAAGAGAGAAATTATATACAATTAGAATTTGCATAAAACGAAAAAGAGACTTGTGCAGAAAATACACAATTAAATCGAATTGTATAAAACGAGAAAGAGAGAAATTATATACAATTTGAATTTGTATAAAACGAGAAAGGCAAAAGAGAACGAGAAAGAGAGAAATTATATACAATTTGAATTTGTATAAAACGAGAAAGGCAAAAGAGACTTGAGCTAGGAAATATTCGTATGGTATAATTATAAGTGTATAAGATAAAGATATATGTATTTGCATACGTTTATACAATTTTCTATCATTTTATACAATTCTATTGTATAAAGTGAGAGACGCGAGCGACAGGAATAAGTGAGAGAAAGGGAGAGTGGCGAGCGAGAATATGAGGGAGAGAGCAACTGATAAACAATTTGCTATGTAACACAAATAAATCAAAGGATAGCTACTATATTTATTTTATATTATTAGTTTGTCATTTTATACCATTGAAAACTCCAAAATTCAAATTTCTGGATTTCTCAAGCTAATGTTGAATTTGGTACTTCAGATTTTGAATTAAAAAAATTATTTTGTATGTAAATCTTATTCATTAGAGTCATTAATCATATCCCAATAGGCAAATACTAATGAATCAAATATGTTATCTTTTAGTCATTCACTTTTGTCGATATGAGAGTAATAATTTGTATTTAGAAGAGTTCTTTTTTTAGCTTTTGAAATATCAGAATTGTTATTTTTGGTTGGCAAGCAGTTCATGTTGGCAGTATATATATACAAAATGATATTTTAAGTTGATTTTTCCTCTATGAGTATCATAACCTGACTGAAAATATATACTAAAAGACTCTGTTTGTTTGCCGTAGTATGATTCATTCATTTGTAGAATCAAAAATAGATGACAAATCAAACAGACAAATTGCATTCACCAAAAGAAATGGAGTATCATCTGGAAACAAAGAAAGAAATCATTATGTTCGTGGATGACTACTTGTAAACCTAAAAAACTATAACCATGGAGGAGACGGCAACAAGGATGACATTCCATATCCATGTCCCTGGCCTCATTCCGAAAGCGCTATTGTCAGAGGCTGTACCAACAACAAAGCACGTCTTAGCTAGTTTAGTGCATAAGTCTTATCAATTAGAAACCGATGAATAAACTTACCAGGGCAGGTTAACTGAGTGTTTGTGGTGAAAATGGTCTGGTTGCTGTAACCAGCATAAGCACAAGATGTGGAATTACAATCTGTGACATTCCCAATGTACAAGTTATCTAAACCTTGGCACTGCATTGAGGGGCATGTCTTCCAAAGAGAGGACTTTATCTGGGATGGTTGGCATTGCAACCTGCAGTAGCAAAAGGGATTTACCATGTGATACAACAACAAAGTGTAACATCGGTTCAGCTACTTACGTCCAGTTGCTGGCAGCATCACACTTGCACGTTACACAATTGGCAGCAGTGAAGATATATGTGTCATTTGGCACTAGCAAGGGATAGTCCAGCGAGGCATTGCTCACCCTTGATTGGCAAGCTGCAAATCAAACACTCGTAAGTAACAAGAAATTTCTAATGAACAGGCCAATTAATTGATAAGTGCAACTTTTGAGTCAATAATTGGATAATACAATAGAAATGAAAAAATATATATACCTTTAAGGGGAACGTCAAGAACTGCGCCAGCTAAAAGTTCTCTGGGACTTGCTAAACCATTCAACCTCAAGAGGGTTTCCTGGGAAACATTGTACTGCTGAGCAATAGCCTCAATACTGTTGCCACTGCTCACCAATCGACCATAATGAACAACTTTTTCACCGTCAACGTCGTCGCAGCTGCAAGGAAGTGGGATCCACAATTTATCCCCGGGTTGTATCAAATTGGGGTTAGATATATTGTTAACCCTTTGAAGTTCCTCAACAGTGAACAAACCGGCGAAGATGTCGGTAACTATGTGCGATAGGAAGTCGCCGGCGACGACGGTGTAAATGGGGCGTTTGTTGGCTATTCCGGTACCGTTTCTACAGAGACAAGGAAAGGGGATTTTGATGGTTTGATTGGCGGGTAATTTCTCATCAGCAGGGGTATTGACAGGGAGATTGTTGACGCCCAGAAGGGAACGGAGGTTCTTTACGTTGAAGAGTTTCTTGACGGCATTAAAGGTAGTGGCGTTGGGTAAGGTATAGTCAATAATGGCGTCACAAGTTCCGGGTGAGGTGCAACTGAAGGAAGCTTCAGCCGGAGATGAAACGGTGAGCAGACATAAGATGGACACAAACAGACTCGATAAAGAAACCATTTTTTTTTTCTCTTTCTCTCTGTGTGTGGAAAAATGGACAAGCTACAAAATAATGGCGTTACACATTTGAGTAGTGGAGAGAGGGTGGGTATTATAGTGGACAGTGCGTGTCTGTGGGTGCGAATTTATTCTTTTTCTGAAGAAAAACGCAAAACAGTAGGAACACTTCTGTTTAGTCTAAATATTCAATTTATTTTAAGTAGTACAAAACAAATTCATATTCTTTGTTACGAGTCAGTTTAGATGATATATAAGTAATATTCAATTCATTCTTTGGTGAGATTTTAATTTAAAACCTTGTTGCTTGTTGGATGTGGAAAATTCCAATTCAGTTCTTAATACCAAAATATTCCACATCTTAATTAATATGAATAGTCTCACAATGTTAAATATATTTTTTGTTTTGTATCGCAATAATAATTAGGTACATTTCAGTTGGTAGTACCAAAATTTTCCACATCTTTTCATTTTTGTTTTCAATAGTTGATTTGAAATTTATTTATTTTCCATCTCAATTAGTCTCTAGTATAATTAAGCATCACCTGTAGACTAAGTCAACTAAAATGGAAGAGGGAATTAATTATGAAAATTCAAACAGCCCAAAGCCGTTGAACATATATATATATATATATGTAACGTAAGTGACTAAAAAAGAAAGATAATAAATAATAGTGACCTCTCTTCACGTGAAAATGAAAGACGAATAGTCCTAGTATAGATAGGGTCCCCAAAGTTCAAAATTTTCCCTCAGCCAAAAAGTGTACCATTTCTGTCCCATAGCAGATAAGAATTATTTTATTTTTTTCCTCAACTTCATTTGCAACAACTTTTGGAGGAGAAAAAGGAAAACACACACACTTTAAAACAACATCAACATCAAACTTGTAAAAAAGGGTTGGAGGCCAAACATAGATTGACCAGGTTGTTGTAATTCATATCATGATTCTTTTAGAAATTCCTTTGGGTTTCAAACTAAATATTCCCACCAAAAAACAAACACTTGAGTTGGGATTCCCTAGCCAACAATTACTGTGCACAAGAAAACAACAGCTATTCAGCATTTCTGCCCTCTCAAAATCCGCCAGCATTCAGATATCTCTATCTAGCTCTTTTTCAATAGAGGAAGCACAAAGTAACCTATAGCCATCCCTCACCTTGAAAAGAGAAAATTCGCCTTCAAAAATACATGTCTCTCCAGGTACCAAACATCACAGACAAAGGTGGATTCTCTGCAATTAATACAAACTTCAAACAAACAATATTCTACACTAACTAACTTGCACAAGTCTTATGAACTAGATCGAAAAGTAGTGTGCCTGCTCTTGTTCACCAGCTGAAGGACTCTGTAGTTAGTTATAACCATATGCACTTCATTTTATATGCACTCTAACCAGGAAATTCTTTTTTAATCTGTCTAAGCGAGTCTCGTTGCTTAATATACAGTAAAGCCAAGGATAAAGGAAAACATTGAGAGCAAATGCCAACCAAAAGTTGTCATTGCATTAGAAAAGAAAGGATGAGGGGTAGTGAACAACTATACATTGCAGTATGGATTCATAAACAGCCAAGCTCTGTATTTAAATGAGAAAAATAAAATCTAACAAAACGGAAACTGTTCCCGTTCCAAATTTTTGGTAATATAAGAATTGGCAGTCACATATATATAATTGACACGCTATGAAGAAAGCAAGCAAATGTAAAGTTTCTCAAACAATTTTGTGAAAAAACGCACAAGAATTAATGAGTAAATTTCTGCTCTAACTTTGAATTATTAATTTCCAAGACATTGTTTATCGACATTTATAATTTAGGCTGCTTCGCCCCAAAATGACTAACACAATCACAATATTGGGCATGGAGAATTCACCTTCCCACGCTTCTATTTTTATTTTGTTATTTCCTCCCCTGAGCTGCCAAGAAATTTTTATCCTTTGATAGCTTCAACATAAGAGTAACTATTATTCGACTAAATATCTTAAAAATCACTCAAATATGTGTGATTGTTTTAAAAAGTCACTCAATTTTATTTTGTATTTATGAATTTTGTTTTATAAAATCACTTAGTTGAACTATTTTTCTATGAAATCATTATAATCACAAAATAAAAAAGATAATTACACAAACCACCCTTAAAGTCTAGTTTTATAATACTTATTTACATTGTAGGTTATAATACTATGCTTTAACTCTCTTATTTTATTTTCTTTAACAAATATTTTTTTAACCTAATTATTATTAACATAAAAATTTATGTTCTAAATTTCTATTATCATACATTTATTTAATTTTTTATGATTGATATGATTTCTTCCCTCCGTTAATATATACCTTGTCGATTATCTGTATATGATCACAGACGTGCATCCATAATGATTAAATGGATATATTTGTTGCTCATTTTGGCTTCATTAAGTTGATCTATACATTCTTTTCATAGTCTATGCATTCCGTTTAAGTATTTCTTTAAAAATAAATTTGTTTATGTTGACCAATTTGATAAATGTGTGATAAATGGAAATTTAATTAAATTATAAATATTTATGTTAATAATAATTATTAGGTTAAGAAAATATTCGTTAAAAAAAATAAAATAAGAGAGTTAAACATAATATTATAAATTATAATGAAAATAAGTATTACAAAACTAAACTTGAAGGGTGGGTTGTGTAATTAGTTTTATTTTTATTTTTTAGTTATAATGATTTTCTAAAAGAATAGTTCAAGTTGAGTGATTTTATAAAAGAAAATTCATAAGTTGAGTGACTTTATTGATACAAAATAAAGTTGAGTGATTTTTTAAAATAATTTTACATACTTAAGTAATTTTTTAAGATATTTACTCGATTATTATTGGAGTAACTTTTTTGAAAAAAAGAAAAAAAGTGCCCATTGATTGTTGTAGTGGATTAATTCTTGTCTAAATTGGAATACTTCGACCGCCTTGACACCTTAATATCAAGGAACCCCCCCTATTCCACAAGCAGGTGATTCTTTTTTTTTTGCAAAATGTGAATATTTAGCATTTAATATGATTTCTTATCAACATTTTCAGTATATATTGAAAACGCAATATTGCAATTTATTATTCTTTTGATTATGTATTTTTTAAATTTGTTTGATAACATAAATGAGAAAATCATGGTAGAAAACATTTTTTAAAAGGAACATATCACTTAAAATTCTCACTTGCAATTTCAAAAGTAATTGATTGTATCCATTCCAATATTTCAATATGTGTATTTGTATACGTTATGATTTTCATGTTAGTGTGTATAATGTCATTTGTATTTATTTATTAGTTTGTATTCATTTAAATGGTCATTCTAAATGAATTTGTAGTTATTTAATAAGATATTTATATTCATATACTTATGTAAACTCATGTTCATTCAGAAAGGGTATAACATTGGTTTGTATATTTTTCAAACACGTATATTCTTTCTTAAAGTTTCCACACAATTTGTATCCTAGTAATCAAAATGTACAAATTTACAATCATAAACCAATCATAATTTGTATTTCATGACAAAAATGTATTTTTTTTTATCATTTATGTATTCCAAAAATATTATATTAAATGTGTAATTTATAGAAAATCTTTCAAATATGATTTTAAATATTTTATATTTCAAGCATCCGACATTAAAAAAAGTAATTAAAACAATTTAATATTTTTGAATGATTTATCCAAATAATGATATTTGAAAATGACACTTCTTTCCGACTCAATTTAATGTTTTTGAATGATTTATTCAAATATTGACACTTCGATAATGACATTCAAATTCAACATACAAAACATACAAATACTTTTGTATTTCAATACTCTAGTAAAGATTGAAAATCATTTGAATAATTTCTAAAATTTCTTAGAGAAATGGAGGGTTTTAATTTTAAAAAGTTAAGGTTCAAATTATTTGTGATTATGGAATAATGAAAGAAATCTTGAGAGAGAGAAAAAATTGATAATTGAGTGTTTTGTCCTTTTCTTTTCACCAGTAAAAGAGTCAGAAAAGTAGGTCCAATTTGAGAAATAAAATGAAAATAAATGAATTATATTTTATTTGCCAAAATATTGATATTTTTAATAATTATTATAATGTGTAGGTATTTTTAAAGGAAAATTATGTTAGGAGTTTTTGGTCGACTTAGTAAATTTATGGTTGAATTATATATGTGGGCTCAAGTGGACTTAAACCTTTTAGAACTCATCTTGTTGTTGGAGGATTCAAAAAAACTCGTTTATCACTTAATTATCACATTGCATTGCACCCTTTTCTAGACTACTTGTGATGAAAGATCATGTCATGGATATCAATGAAATTGTTTTTTGTTTTAATTTCAGGAAAAATTGTAAGTATTTTTGAGTTAGTTTTTAAGAATGTTGCATTACCTTTTGAACGTTGGCAAAACACAAATCATCACACTGTTATTTATAACTTTGATAATAAGCAAAGTTCAGATGTTGAACCAAATAAGTTACTACTCCATTAATAAAAATCTGACACAAAAAATTATTTAAAAAATTGTTTGAAGTGCACAAGTATCAACATGGTCTTTGGGTCATTTATTATAAAATTGTCCGTTACAAGTACCAAATTCAAATGAAACAAAATGAGTCAGTCAGTCCATTTTAACTTCTTAATAATATTTGTTTGAGTGAATCTCAAAATTTGAGACAGAGGCTCCTTCGTTTAAAAATATGGATTACACCAAATATTTCAATAGGCCGACTTTGTCTTGGCCGATGGGTTAGTTAATTCATGTTGTTTTAATCAAATTACACCTTATATTAATTTTTTTTTAAAAAAATGTATGACTTTATCCTAACAAATAATTATGAACGGTAAAGCAATCGTGGATAGAGAGAATAACAAGTTGTAATTAGGTAACTAATTCATCACAATAAATTTTTCTTCTCATGAACAATTAATCACCTTCTCCATACTTGACTTTTGTAGGAATCAATTACTCAATAATACTACACTACTAATTCCAACATAAGCTTTTCTCAATCTTCCCCAACTTTTTGATTTAATAAATAAATACTTCCTTTTTAGTTGTCATAATTTTCTTTTTTTAGAGTCAAGCCATAAAAATTTTAATTAATATTTTATAAAATTTATAATTTATATTATTTATAATCATATTTAACACCGAAAATTAGTTAAGTTGACTTTGAAAAAAAAAACACGAGTAGCTGATATTTTCTATGGGTATCAATATATATAATATATAAAGTTGTAGTTGGTTACATTTGTTCCCCTCCTTTTTTGCAGCAATTGTGACTGGATGGATACATGACAGAAATTATTTTAAACGGAAATGTAACATGTCAGACTAAAACAATTAAAAAGCCTGCAATGTACAAGACAAGTTGATTAATATCTTAATAGTGTTGAATCTCAGATTACGACTTTGCCAATCCTAATAGACATGCATGCTTCATCATTGCAGATGTGGTTTTAGATGGGGCTGCATATATAATTATTAGGAGCGACCTAACTAATATCTTAATCACTACTTAATTAGCAAAAACCATCCCATCTTAAAACTTTCTCAAGCACCTAATCCAAACTATATATATATATATGTTTGGTTGTGGATCGTCACCAAAGTGGTTTGTTTTGACATTTGAGCAGCTAGCTAGTATGTTGACTCTGAAATGTCTGGTCCAGGCGATCGTGCCAACCATAAATAAACACAATTGAAAGCACTTCCATTAACATATTCTCCGAATAAACAAACCAAAATTATAAAATACTTGAACCAAACCAAAAACCAATATCTCATATCTATATATATACTCACATTACATTAAATGTCAAAAATCAAATTAATTATGTACGTATGGGATTCGCAATGTAAATCATCATTCAACTTCATTTAATTCTATCACCAATTAACCTCAATTTCTAAATTCTTACTATATTTTTGACAATTAGGCCTTAGATTTGTTCTTATCAATTATATATGCGCATATTTTTAAAATCAATTATATATGGGCATATCATTACTTGAGTTTTACGTCAAAACTAGATATGTCACTATCACATTTCATCAAAAATACTTATCTAGTCATTTTTATTTCTTTCACAAAATTAGTTAGCGCACCTTTTTAATAATAACAATAAATAAAGTATAAAAATAATTTATTTTTGATCCATGGTAAGTAGAAATTAATGAAAGACTTACTTTTTTCATTTTGTTGACTTGATAATATAAGTTATATAATATAAATTTGACATGGTATGAGAATTGAAAATGGAAATGGAAACAAAACTAGAAAAAGAGCACAGAAACTTTTGGTAAACAGGTGGGCCAAAACATACAGGGGAAAATGAATTAACGTGTTGTTTGTCGTTTTCACTCAAAAAAGACGTAACACGAAAATTCCTCCGTGTCAATTTAAATTTGAAGAGTTGATAATATGATTTAGGAGTTGGTAATTAGGGAAAAAGTGTCCTAAATTGTGTGCGGAGAATTAGGCTTAGCGAAACCAACCTAAATCACTATTTTTGTTTCTACTCAACCTAAAGCAGGCAGGATTTATATATATATATACTCTAAAACCGAAGCAGATTTTTTTAGAAAAAACATGAAGAAGAGAAAACATGAGACGTTGTTTCTTGTCATTCTCCATACTCTGCTTTTCAGAAGAAGAAAACAACGCATTCATCGCTTCCTTACTCTTGCCTCTGCTTTATTTGCTGCTATTCTCTGCTTAACTCTCTTTTTCTCTCCTCCCATCCACCAACATCACCTTATCAATCCCATCTCGGTATGTATACCCTCCCTCCCTCCCTGTACATCATTTTCTTGTTCATTTTTTATGATTTTTTATTTCATTCAGTTCATTAACGGCACGGGGTTTCACATGAGCCTGCAACAAGACCATATCTTTCGTGTTCCGGTGAGCTCCCTATACGTAAAGATTCTTTTTTTTTTTAAATAAAAAAAATAAAATCTGAATTCTGAAGCTCCTGATTTTGTATGTGTAGATGGGTGGAGGAAGTTTAAGCGGAGACGTATGGATTTCCAAGCAATCCAAATTCTATCATGGCTGCAGTGATTCCAGCAATAGTTTTCCAAGTGGGTGCATTTTGTTTGTTTTACCCCATTTGTCTAATTTTTGTATGATCCCTGACACTGTAACATTTGCAGCGGCAGAGGTGAATACTCATCCCAATAGGTACTTGATGATTGCAACTAGTGGAGGCTTGAATCAACAGAGAACAGGGGTAAATATATTCTTTTACCCTAATTCTAGAGCCCAGAGTCTTATTGAAAACAACCTCTATCCACTGGTGGTGGTATATGTTGTTGCCAAGTTTTCCATGGAGAGATACGTTCTATGTGTTTGAATGTTGTTCTTCGGAGGATTTAAATTCATAGTAATTGTGCAATTTTGGTAGACACAACTAGTGCAGATTTGGATAAGATACAAGTTCAAAAATTTTAAACTTCCTTGTGGATACCTGAATGACATTTAAATTGGGTGGTTAGCAATTGTAGAGTGAAAAAGCAATTTCAATATTTTACCTTCTGCTTTCTAAATATGAACAAGAAAATTTTCACTTGTAAATTGAAATTCTGATATCATTCACCAGCAAAATATTATTACTATTAATGTTACCTGTGACATGCAGCTGCATATGGATTGCAAGTTGTAGCTTGTGAATAGTACCATGAATTAATAGTCAAGAGAGTACTCTAGTCTGCTCCCTGAACCCAATTTAGCCTTTACCATTACTCAGTTTACCTTGTTTGAATCTTCTTCCTTTGACCTGGCAGAAACTCGTCCCACTTTTTTATTTGTAATGGTGTATGTAGTTTTCTGTTGACACTGTCTTGTCAACTGTGCAATCATGAATCAGCAAGTCCATTTCTAGACACCATAAGAGTTTCTATTAAATCTGAGATACTACGAGCAGATTATTTTGCCGCTGGAATTCTAATTATTATTTGCATTTCTATTTTAAAAGATTGCTAAATCAAATTTGAGTTCAAATCATTTTCTTGCTGGATGCAGATTGTAGATGCAGTTGTTGCAGCTCATATTTTGAATGCCATCCTAGTAGTTCCAAAACTCGACCAGAAATCCTATTGGAAAGATTCAAGGTTTTATTTGGAATGATTTGTGCACAAACGCATTTTATGACCTATCTTTTTGTTTGTTAGAGTGTACTACAATTCATGAACGTAATCATTCCTTTTTTTACGTGCAGTAACTTCTCTGAGATTTTTGATGTCGATTGGTTTATCTCACGAATCTCGAAAGATGTCAAAATTATTAGGGATCTTCCAAGAATCGGAGATAAAATCATAACTCCATATACAACACGTGTTCCAAGGAAGTGCAATGCCAAGTGTTATCAAACTCGCATCCTGCCTATTTTGAAGAAAAAGCACGTAAGTTCTTTACAAATTAATGGGACATGTTTGCCTTTTCCAGTGCATCAAAACATGATATCATCGATATGGAGCTTTGTGTACATCACATGATTTGTGGTCCTTAGTATTCTATTGTTCTTGTTGCATTGCACATTATGTGGCAACTTGTGCTGAAATCTACTATTTTCCCATCCATATTGCCCTAATGCACAACCAAGTCATAGCATTTCAAAATTTGAAAGTTCAAGGTACAGAATGGTAGACACAGATTTACTTATCCATACAACACAAACTCCACCTTGTTTTCAGGAAAAAAGTGTAAGTCGAGCATATCTTCTTGACAATATCTGTGTTGTTGAATACACAACCTGTTGGGTGGGGTGGTGAGGGGAATCAACGTCTTAATGTACAGAGTGTCTGTGTAGTTTATTGCACATTTCTTGTTTGAGATTTTCCTACTGGCCCTTAAAGTATATCTAGATTAACTAGTTTCTTTTTGGATGTAGATTCTCATTTTGTTTATGTTTTGTTCTGATGCAGGCCGTTCAGCTAACAAAATTTGACTATAGGCTTTCCAATCGATTGACTACAGATATGCAGAAACTGAGATGCAGAGTCAATTATCATGCATTGAAGTTTACTGATCCCATAACTGAAATGAGCAGAAAATTGGTTGAAAGGATAAGAATGAAAAGCAGGCACTTTGTTGCCTTGCACTTGAGGTAATTTTATTAACATTTATGTACAAAATACGTTTAACACAAATGTTCTATCTTGTTCATTAATGTTTACCAACAACGCAAGCTGCTTTGTTGAAATATAGAAGGCAAAAGGGCTAGCCTTTTGGGCGTTATATTGCTGATCTGATAAAATGGTTTTTTATGTGTGTTCTAGTGTTATTTTTTCAGATTCAGTGACATTCCTTTAGAAATTGAATGTTGATCTTGTCATTCTTGATTGTATACTTCTCTAAGTCAATATTCTACAACTGGAACATGCTTGCTGAAACTTGTTTATCATGTTCTAAGGTTTGAACCAGATATGCTTGCATTCTCTGGATGCTATTACGGTGGAGGAGACAAGGAAAGGAAAGAACTAGGTAAAATACGAAAGAGGTGGAAGACATTACATGTGAGTCACTACCCATTTTAGTAACTATTAGTCCATATGTTGCCCCTACTTATAGTTAATATGGTATTACTTCTTTGGCATTACTTGCAGGCAAGGAACCCCGATAAGGAACAAAGGAATGGAAAATGCCCTCTCACTCCAGAGGAAATTGGCCTTATGCTTAGAGCACTTGGTTTCGGTAATGATGTTCATATTTATGTGGCATCCGGAGAAATTTATGGTGGAGAGGAGACATTGGCTCCTCTCAAGGCTTTATTTCCAAATTTTTATTCCAAAGATACAATTGCCAGCAAGGAGGAATTGGCACCGTTCTCTTCCTTCTCTTCTCGGATGGCTGCGTTAGATTTCATGGTTTGTGATGAGAGCGATGTTTTTGTATCCAATAACAATGGTAATATGGCAAGAATGCTCGCAGGAAGAAGGTAAGCTACTTGATGATTTTGACCAGAATCAGTTTAGCTGACTTCACAAAAAATTTTAAACAATTTTCCATCTTTTAAAATAATTTTGACGAAGGATACTCCTACAAATGCCATATTCTTTACTCAAATACCATGTTATTTTATTTGTTAGTCTGTCACTCCAGGAAAGGGTAAACTTTTTAAAATCTTTTCCGTGTTTCAGGAGATATTTTGATCACAAACCAACTATCCGCCCAAATGCGAAGAAGCTTAATAATTTGCTCCTTCATCGAAATAACATGACATGGGAGGAGTTTGCTTCACAAATTCGAACGTCTCAAATAGGTTTCATGGGCGAGCCAATGGAGGTAAAGCCAGGCAGGGGAGAGTTTCATGAAAACCCAACAGCATGCATTTGTGCAGATTCTGAAATGGATAGCGGTGCTGCTACTATTTCAGGTATGGGTGAAGCAAGTGATGGTCAGGTAGGTGAAGAAGATCAAGAATGGTCTGATACAGAATATACAGAGAATGAACTTGAAACTCAATGATGCAGATGAGTCAAAAATAGAAGATGCTTGTCTTGGATTAAAGAGAAGTTGCAGATGGGGGGCAGGTCCTCATTTTGAGTACTAGCTTCCATTCATTGATTAACAGTATGGAGCAAACCATTGTACAGTGGAAAGTAAGAGGTTGGTTCTCCAGTTTTGCTAGTGAATGGTGCCGTTTTAGGGAAGAGAATGACTGAAGTTAGATGCATTTAAATACATAGAGAGAGCAGGATCAAATAAACAACTTTATGCTGCATTGATTCTTGGAATATCGATTACTCCTCCAAAGGAGAGGTAATGCTCAAAATATAGGAAGAGTAAGTTGCTGTTTTTTTTTTTTTTTAAAAAAAAGTAAAAACATGTGTATAAGAAAAACTCGGTTTTTGCCCTGCATTTCTTTCGACTGAATCAGTCTTGGAATATCAACTGTTTAATATACTAATCGATCAGTTAATTTGTCTTGTAGCTGCTACCAATACTTTTGTTTGAAGACAAAGCACCTTTAAAATTCTATATTTGTAGTAACCTAGAGAATAGTCAAAAGAAGAAATTGACGTCCAACTTGTGATCATAATTTCTTCCTCCTTTTTGAAATTAAGGGAGTAGGTTTTATCCCTTTCAATTTGAACTCCATCAACATTATGGAAGCTAATTCAAATTCAAACTAACTCTCTTGTCTAATTTGAATGAAGTATATATATATAAAGAAAAATGTCTTTTCTATATTAAAGTTCTTTAAAAATTAAAAGGTGATGTGTAAAGCGGGTAACCAACCATAGGCTGTTTGCGATGAATGAATAAGATAGTGGACGTGGCCTCTTCTTCCCCAATTGTTATTTATTTATAACAAAAAAAAAAAAAAATACAATACAGTTGTTCTCACTCTCTAATGGCTTCCACCCTCTACGGCCACCTTGCTACCCCTACTCTTCCCTCTCGCAAGCTATCTTCCTTGTCATGCCCAACCATGTTCCATTCGGCACTTTCCTTTTCCATCGCCACTACTAAAGGTAAATACACTCTTTTCAATTTTATTACCCTTAAAATTTGGATTTTTATTACAAATACAGTACCCACTAGTAATAACATGATTCCAACTCATTTCTTAACTTTGTTCACGTAGCCAAACATGGTTCCGCACCTAAGGTGGTGTGCAATGCTCAGAGTGCTCCGGCGGCACTCAATTTAGCTCCGGGAACACCTGTGAGGCCGACTAGTATACTAGTTGTGGGGGCCACCGGCACATTGGGGAGGCAGGTAGTGAGGAGAGCATTGGACGAGGGCTACGACGTCAGATGTCTTGTAAGGCCTAGGCCTGCTCCTGCCGATTTTCTTCGTGATTGGGGCGCTACGGTTGTCAATGTAAGTAGGAATGTCATCCACTTTACTTTTTAATTGGATTCAACATTTATGTTTTCACCACTAATCTGCTGTAGTTTTGACAATTCATTTAAGCTTGTTCTTTTACATATTTGTGAAAATTATTTGATCTCTGCACAGGCAGATTTAAGCAAACCTGAAACAATTCCAGCAACATTGGTTGGAGTCCATACAGTTATTGATTGTGCTACTGGACGCCCTGAGGAGCCTATAAAAACTGTAAGCATCCATAGGGGTGAATAATTGCTCCACACTCTACTTAAGGAGTTTAGGTTCTTGTTCAAATGATTCTTTTATTTACGTGAGTGGCTTGTCAAGCATATTTACTTTATCCATTCATTTTAGGTAGATTGGGAAGGAAAAGTGGCTCTTATACAATGTGCAAAAGCCATGGGCATTCAAAAATTTATATTTTTCTCTATTCACAACTGCGACAAGCATCCTGAAGTTCCTCTGATGGAGATCAAACACTGTACAGAGAAGTTTCTCCGCGATTCAGGCCTGAACCACGTTGTAATTCGGTTATGTGGCTTCATGCAGGTATCATCCTCAGATGATTTTATTTGGTGTGGAGAAAGTATACGTACATTTTGACCACAAATCATATCTGAAAACTCTTGAAAGGTATTGCAATAAGTTAGATTCACAATAAACCTATTGAAAATTGGAAAGCATTTCTTATGCTCAAAAGATGTGTAAATCAGGGTTATATATCTCACGACATTGTAAAGGGACACCTCAGAGTGTCAAAAGGCTATCAATATACTAGTTGTAACACCGAGATCTTGCTACGTGAAATTTGTAATGCAGAAACAGAGAAGTTTGACACATTATATTCTTATTATCTGCAAAATTATGAGCTTTGATTGAGTTACGAATAATCTCTACATATCTTAGAAGGAGAATCCAGTGAATGGTAGCATGGACTGCCCTTTTGATCTTACTGATCAACTCTTAGCAGTTGGAAAAAAAAATACAAAGCTGCCCATACAAATAGTTTCTAAACCAATTAATAAGGTAAAAAAAATACAAAGCTGCCCATACAAATAGTTTCTAAACCAGTTGATAAGGTGTTATTCCCGTATTTCCTTTTGCCATGTCTATTGTCCTTCAGTCGTATTCTTCATTGACTTAGTAGTTAAACGTTGTTTTCATTTACTTCAGGGCCTTATTGGTCAATATGCAGTGCCTATATTAGAAGAGAAATCTGTATGGGGAACCGATGCTCCCACTCGAATAGCATACATGGACACCCAAGTAAACTTTCCACTTAGTTTCTTTTGAGTCTATTAAACGTAACTGGTAAATAATTTTATGCAAAATTGCTTCTAGGATATTGCTCGGTTGACATTCATAGCTTTACGCAATGAGAATATTAATGGGAAGCTTCTCACTTTTGCTGGGCCTCGGGCATGGACAACCCAAGAGGTAAGAAGGATCTCCATTTTAAGCATTAAGATAAAGTTTCTTTGGGAACTTACAATGTAGCCATTTGTGGTATTTTTTGTTTCTGGTATTGGGGTAAGCAACAACAGATGCTGTTAATATCGAACTCTTACCTCTAAACCAAGTTCATTTTGAAGCTTCTTTAGAGGTTAGACCATCAAATTTTCTGTTAAGGATACTCTTGATCTTCTATATATGCTAGGCAATAGGAAAAAAAGTCAATCCACTTTTTCGAAATAGCAATACCTTTCCCATTGTCAATATCATTTTACGTTGATACCCAGTGGGAGTAAGTTCCCCGCGAAAAGCTAGAGTAAGCTCTTTCTCATTTTGCATACTACTCTTTTGTTTTTTTTCCTGTCTTTGTTATTCTCTCCCTTCTCTCCTGTTTGGATGATATCTATTACCTTCTTGTCAAGTAAGTACTCATTGAATCAGGTGATAACATTGTGCGAGAGACTTGCTGGTCAAGATGCCAATGTGACTACAGTGCCTGTCTCAGTTTTGCGATTTACACGTCAGCTGACTCGGTTGTTTGAGTGGACGAATGATGTTGCTGATAGATTGGCATTTTCAGAGGTAGAATTCTTCATATTATTAAATGCAGTCTAATATTGTTCTGGTTGTTTGTTATATCTACTACATCATTTCCTTTTCTTCTACTAGATCATTTTCTTTCTTCTCATTGTTTGCAATGTTTCTTTCTTTCCAAAAAATGAAGCTCTTTAAGGTAAAGGGAAAAGGTAACTCTTTGAATAACAGGAGTCGGGGGTGTGAGGGGGCAAGGATGGTGTATTTGAATATGCTGTCCTCGAACTGACTGTTTATATTAGTGAAGAGAGTGTGTTCATTTGATTTTTATCATAAAATAGGGGGAAAACCCATGTGTAAATGGTGCATGTCCAGCAAGACAAAGCTAATGAATGTTCGTGGTGTGGTGTGGTGGTTTTTTCCAGGTTTTGACAAGCGATACTGTGTTCTCAGTTCCTATGGCAGAGACATATAACCTTCTGGGTGTGGATGCAAAAGACGTCAGTTCACTGGAGAAATATCTGCAGGATTATTTCACCAATATACTGAAGAAGTTGAAAGACCTTAAGGCTCAATCGAAGCAAACTGATATTTTCTTTTGAAAAAAGTACTACTTTTCTTTTTTATGTTGTTGTATTTTGGAATTTCCTAGTTATAATGTAAAGAAGATAAAGAAAGAATATGACTAACTTTGATTTAAATGAAAGCTACTTTAATTTTCTGAAATCATATCCTATGAGAGAGAGCAGGAATGGATGTTCTAACATTACAGTCTGAAAAGCAAAACAACCTATTGGTTGATATACCCCTCTGCTCATCAGTTGCATATATTATGCTGATCATATCAACTCACTACGCCCATCCCCAGATACGACGAATTTATGGAATTTTCAACTACATTTCAATGGCTTCTTCTTTTCTTCACCGTAATAGTAATTCCAAGAATCATCATCAGAATATATTCTACCTTTAAGACAACAAATCATTTTAACTGACCATTCATTTAACTGATAAAATATATGAATACTTCGATATTAGTATTTTATAGCAACTCTCACCGCACACACGAAATGACTCTTGGGCTGGTTCTAATAAATAGTACATGGACCATTATTGAAAGGAAAGTAGTAGTGTAACAAATAAAGGAGCAGGACAAAAGGCAATATACAATTAAACAAATTTTATGAGTTATTTAGCATGCATCAATTCATGATATTTTTGTGGTGGCTCATGGCATGACTGTGACTTGTGATCACTGGTTTAGTAGAGTAGTAATAAACTTTGTCCAGATTTTTCAATTTCGCTCTAGTGCACAGCCAGTTAATACTCCCACATTATTAATTTATCAAATCTTTAATTACATTCAAGTTTCTTGTATCATAATCAGTTTTATACAATACTATCACTAATTAAGGTATAAAATAGTTTGAAGAGATAACTTTGTCTGGAGCTGAAAGGGAAGTAGGCTAAGCAAATCATAATTCAGATCGAATTGGCAACGAACAAGTCTAGTAAAAACATAAAAATTGTATTAGATCATCAAAGTTTTTTGTTAATAAAGTATCCAATTCAAATATAAATTATTGAGGAACAATTATTCTGATTAGTTAAATAGTAATAAGTGAAATTAAAGAAACTTTTGGGGTAGGATCGATGCTTCTTAAGGAATAGCATATATATAGTTCCAATAAAAAAATTAGTTCCACACATGAATAGCAAGCTGGAAAGTTTCATGCAACAGTCCAAAATATACACAATTAGTGCAGCACATGTTAATTACATGGAGGATCACTTAATTATCTTGTGGGGACCAACTAATTTTGTACTGCAAATAATTTTTATGATTCGAGCTAACCTAAATGGAGCATAATGAAGTAGCCATAGGTTGTAAAAATATTAAAGGCTGAACTTGTCCACATAATTTAATTTACTTGGACATAATTTTTCCACTAATATTTTCTTCTTTTTAATTTGTTTAACATGTTTTTAATATATTTTTAAAAAATAATCATTTTCTTTTTAATAACTTTTTATTTGAATTTCTACGTGACATATTTGAAACTATATATAAAATTAAATGATATACTTAATATATTTTTAATATTAAACTATAAAATTTTATTTTATTTTTAATTTTTTAAAATTAATATGAAATCAAGACAAACAATTTGAAGTAAAAAATTAATGTTTGTCTCTTTTACAATTTGAAGAGAAGACAACTGTCATAGGTAGATCTTATGTATAAAATTAAAAATCTTAAATATATTATATATATATATATTATGCTAAGCAGATGTTGGATGTACGTATATGTGTTAATTTTGAAAAAGATTATTTTATGTGGCATCACTTAACTCGGCACGAAGTTTAAAAAATATATGAAGACTTTGAATTGTTTACTAAATTGTTCTTAAAAAAGTGGACTCACTTTTTTTTCTCCTCATAAATGTATTAGAATACTCCTTCCGTTTAAAAAAGAATGACCTAGTTTGACTTCAAACCGAATTTAAGAAAAGTAAAAAAACTTTTTAATCTTGTGGTTCTAAATTAAAATTATGTCAAATGTACCAAAATGTCCTTTGATTTTGTGGTCTTAAACATGTCACGTAAAAAAAGTTAAAATTAAAGTATTGCCAAAAAAGAAAAAGAGTCATTCTTTTTTAACAGACTAAAAAGCAAATAGGGTCATTCTTTTTTAAACGAATGGAATACGATTTAAAAGTAAGTGCGACCAACAAGGGTAATAGAGGAATCCTACCTTTAAATATTTACCATATAAGAAAACGTGACATTCTTTTTGAATCTAACCAAAAAAAAAAATAAAGTCACATAAAATAGAATAAAGACAGTATATATATATATCTATTTTGAGAAACTGATAAAAACTAAATATAAACAATAGTTTGTCAAATAAAACATGAAATTATGCTTTGTCTTGTTTGTACAAGCTGATTGCGCCCATATAATTAGAGCTTTTTTCTTTCTTTTTTTTGAAATTTCCAAATGGTGTATTTGCCTTTGATAATAGAGTACTACTGTATCACATGCATGGATTTGAATGTACAAATTAGTAGTACTTAGCTTGAGGACCCCGCTAATCTCCCTTATTATTATTATTATTATTATTGTTATTATTATTGTTGTTGGTATTGCGCATATATAATTAAAAAAGAAGAAGTGATTGTGTCGAATACCTATTGGTAGCTTATTTCTATTCAACTGCTCGACCAATCAAAAGTTTGAGTTTTATTTTTGATGTAAAAATCTCATTGTTTATTATATCAATATTACATTAAATTAAAATTAAGAAAGTAAAAAACTCATACATGATAATTTCTACTTATTTTGCATCCTAAATGTATAGGAACTATGAAGTCGTTTGCTATTATTTACTCATGCTCAAACTTATATTTTAAAAGACAATATATATATATATATATATATATATATAAAAGACATTAATTGACCACGTGCACTACCATGCTCGTCTCCTGAAATTTTATATTTCTAAATCAACTCGTAATTATTATTGACAAGCTACTTAATACTCCATAATTAACAGTTCATGCCACTGATATATATATATATATATATATATATATATATATATATATATATTAAAAATCATGTATAAAATATACTTACTTCTCGTACGTAGGATGAGTCCAAATTATGTTATATGCGTATGCATTAAAACTTTTTACTTTTAGCAAAAATAATATTTTATATATCTCCGTAGGGTTAATTTCATATTCTATTCTTTTTATGTGTTTTCTATTTAGTTTTTTTAAATATATATTAGAGTTTTGATTAAATTTGTATTAACGTCAAAAAATCTCATAGTAGGGGCAAACAGCTCCCTAAAAAATGATTTTGTATTTATAACGCCTAATTAAGTATGAAAAAATATTTATCGCTATGCCAAACGGCTTATTCATTCATATCAAATGAGTATCAATATATGCTGGAAACGGAAGAGAGATACACCAAAAACATCTTTTCTTTTTTTTCCCTTTTGAAAATATATTCATTCATTGAATTATAAAACTTTAGTACTCAGATTATCACTATTTATTTTCGTCCAGAATCATATTATAGTAATTTTTCATGTGTTTATTAACATACATATTTAATTTATGCGAATATCCATTGAAATTAATTGGCCGATTAGTCTCAATTACAACTCTTAATTATAGAAATGGCTATTCGATACGGTATTTTGCTTGCAATTTTAACTCTTTTAATCATCATTTGTTATAAGTTAAATGCCCCTAATGCAACAATTTTCAAAAAAAAGTGAAGAAGAACATAAGTAACCTATTAAAGTCATGATAAATGTGTGAATATGTCAATGCATATAGAGTTTAGGAAAATGGTAAAACTTACCCTTTAAATTAATGAAAAGGTCATAGTTAATCTTTTGTTAATAGTTGGATTAGATCTACAACTTTCATCTCACTAGTTAATCTTATTATACATAATATAATAATAGTTGGCTAAGGATAATAGTTTTACAACGAGAGACGAGAGTCAAATTTATGTGCAATTAGTACTACTATGAAATTTGTTGTGGACTAAATTGTGTTATACTATCAATAGGAGTGTCAAATGGACTAAGCAAAGAAGATAGAATCAATAAATAAACGAGTCATTACTTCAATTGAAATAAATTAAACTGAATTGAATAAACAAATCCGCTTAATTTTTGTTCATATAATTTTTTGTGCATAAATAGCATATCAAACAAATAAAACAATCCCCTCTATAAATATCCTTTTCAACTGGTGCCTTGCTGCTTCTTTTTTCAACCTATCGTCCTTTTCTTAATAACTATTCCTCTTTTTTTTCTTCTTAGTGCTAAAAAGATGAAAATTTCATTATCCGCCCAGATTTCATTAATAGTGATAAGTTCGATTTTGAAAAATTAAAGATTTTGTAAGATATGTAAATGCCCAATACAATTTCGATCGATGAGGTTTTCAATTAGCAAATATATTAACACAACTTTTATATGAACTGAAGTGAATAAATTGAGTTAACAAGTAATAACTTACCCAAAACTTTCTTTTTTTAAAATATATAACAATGGTAGAGTTTTGAGAGGTGGGGCATGAAGAGTGAAAATAGGGTCAAATAATTTGCATAAAATGGCAAAAAGAAAAATGGTATAACAGTGATTGTGGAGATTTTTTTTTTTTGAATGATTCAATGAGTGATAAGTCCTGAAATAAAGAAACTTTATAGCATTTCACTGTCACATTTAATCCAATCATTACTACTACCTCATTCATGCATATTCAATTTTAATAAAGACTTGCAGATTTCCCCAAGTTTTTCATTTGGTCCTCAAACGTCCAGTTTTGGTATAAAACTTTGTTGCCCATGAAAATACTATTTTTTCAATGTTTGAATTGATTAATTAGTGGAAAATGTTTTATGCTTGTAGATCGATAATAGTCGATCATTGGCTCTTGCAAATTAAACTAGAATATATACACCAATCCCTCTTTGTCATTTTCATGCCCAAATAAAGATACCTAACTTTTTTTTTAAAGTAAGGGCATTTAAAAAATTATATGACATTTTAATGGTAAAAAGGCATCTAATATTTAGTTTTCTATTTTAAGGTTATCTTATTGATGAAGGTTTAAAAGTATGACTCTATTGGACCTAGGATATACGGAATTAGATTGACTTGGACTTATCTTTGTGTTTGGTAAGTAACAAGAATGTTACCTATAATTTAAAAACTTTATTTGCTTTTATTTTTTCTAAAGACGTTTCCAAATGCATTTTACCACATGGTAGAGTTTTGACCAAACTAGGAGACTAGTCCAATTTGAATGCAACAACCTTCCATTTCCACATATACACGCTTACACTTTTTCCTTTTTATTTATTACTAATGTTCACCAAAATAATAAATTTATTGCTGTTCACCAAGTTATTTTTTTGTTGTTAATGAGCTAGTAGGTTAGGTTAACCATTGAAATTGCATGTTAAATGCCATTTTTAATCAGCAAAAAGTAAAGAGTAGCAATAATAATGGTATTCGTCGGAGCAGCCATTTTTCTCTTTATATAAACGGACGAATTCTCTGCTGGCAAAGATTCCCTCTAGGATGCTTCTTTCTCTTTACCCTTCATTCATCCATCCATCCCTCTCTCACTATGACTTCTTTTCCCTTTTTACTTAATTACTAATTCCCCAATTTTAAATTATGGGGTGCGCAACCTCTAAGCATGATGACTTGCCGGCGGTCGCTCTATGCCGTGAACGTTGTGCCTTTTTAGACCAAGCTATTCACCACCGTTACGCTTTTGCGGAAGCCCATCTAGCTTATCTTCACTCATTGAAATCCGTCGGCGCTTCTCTTCACCGGTTTTTCCAAAATGATCTCGATCTTTCCACTTCATCATCGGGTAGTCCTCTTTCCCCGATTCTCCCTCATCCCAAAGATGAAACTTCCTCTGCCCTTCCTCATCCAGTTAAAAAAATTCACCATTCTCACTCTAGTTCCGGTTCACACCTTCACTTCCACTCGGAATCCGACGAAGATGATGATTCCGGTTCCGACTCTTTGCATCACCATACGGAAACCCCTACTCATGGTCAGTTCACTTATGGTGATCATCAAAACCTAGGGTTCGGAGCACCACCATATCAAGTTGGTGGCGTCGGTGGGTTCGGACCACCATATCAAGTCGCCGGGGCCGGTGGATTCGGACCACCATATCAAGTCGCTGGGACCGGTGGATTCGGGCAACCATATCAAGTCGGTGGTGGGTTCGGAGCACCATATCAAGTTGGTGGTGGTGGTGGGTTCGGGGCACCCTATCAAGTTGGTGGTGGTGGGTTAGGCGCACCATATCAAGATGGTGGTGGTGGTAGTGGAGGGTTTATGCATATGAATTACATGAGGAAACAAACGACGCCCTCGGTGACCTATCATCAACGACCCATAAGTCCGGAGACTGTTCGTATGGGTGAAGCGTCTTCTTCCTATTATCCTTATCCTTATCCCAATAGTAGTAACCCTAATTCTTACAACTATCCGAATTATCCCAATTACGCTGGTGAGTTTTTTTCCTCGTCCATTCAAAGGCCGTATGGTGATTCATCTCCACCGGCGCCATCTGGAGCTGGGCCTTCGTCAGCGCCTTCTACTTCAAAACCGCCTCCTCCGCCACCCTCTCCACCGAGGAGCTCACCTTGGGATTTTCTGAACCCTTTTGAGACTTTTGAGAGTAATAATTACCCTACACCATATACGCCAAGCCGAGACTCGAGAGAGGTTAGGGAAGAAGAAGGTATCCCTGATTTGGAAGACGAGGATTTTGAGCACGAGGTTGTTAAGGAAGTTCATGGACATCAGAAGTTTGTCGAAGGCGAAAGTGAAGTTCACGGAGGGAACCATTCAAAGGCAGTGGCAGAGGAGGAGAGAGAGAAGCAAAGTGATTCGGAGTCGCTATACCATGGGAGGCCAAGTGCGTCAATGGAAAATGAGCAGGTGGAGTTTGAGGTACACGTTGTGGATAAGAAAGTGGTAGATGAGGAAGGGAAGTCAGGGCATGGGGGAAATGTTGCTGGGTTCAAAGCTCGTGCATTCAAGGACGACTCTGATGTTGTGAAAGAGATTCAGGTTCAGTTTGAGCAAGCTTCTGAATCTGGAAATGAGCTTGCTAAGATGCTGGAGGTTGGAAAGCTTCCCCACAATCGTAAGAACGCCACATATCAAGGTACTTAGTTGTGATCTCAACTTTTGGTTTTTATGCCTTCCACATATCTAGTTGCTTCATTGTGATATAAAATTATGATTTTTTTTTTTGCTATTCATCATTATGCTCGAGAGATTTGCAGATGAGAATACTGTTCTATTTGTGAATGAAGTTAAAGTCTTTCTGTTGCATAGTATACTGGACATGTTAGTAATTTAATTTAAAGGCTGTCTCGGTTGATTTTAACTTATATTTCTTGGGATTTCATGGGGACAGTGTCTTCCAAGATGTTGCATGCAATTTCACCTTCATTGTCCGTAGTGTCGTCACAACCTTCTACGTCAAACAATGCTGCAATTCAGATTAATGATCCTGCTGCTTTAGATGTGGAAGGAGATGTAAGTTCAAGGTACAAGAACCTTTCTTCAACGTTAAACAAGCTGTACCTCTGGGAGAAGAAACTGTATCAGGAGGTTAAGGTATTATTTCATTTTGTAGGTTGTCTATTTTTTTTCACTGTTCACTAGAAACATACTTTGGACGGCTTCTTTTTGGAGAGCAGTAGTTTTTTTGTTCAGTAGCTCAAGTGATTGGAGGATTCAAAATAGTTTCTTCTTCATCTGTGATTATTGTCTCATTACATCTCTTGGTGTGGCTTGCAAGTGGTTTAATTGGTAGTTGGCATTCGATTCATTTGAAGCGATCTGAAAAAATCTGTGTGATAATCCAGATTTGCAAATGCAATACATCTGAACTTGTTACAATCTGCTGTTATTTGCTAATCCCCGAACTATTGATAAAATGATATGCATATATCCTCCGTCATATTTTGGTACATCAATGCCCCTGCCGTTAAAAAATTAGAACATATTTACCTTTGTTTCTAACGGAAGATCAAATATGAACACGTGGCGCAATCCTACAGAGAGACCCGTTTGACCAATCAATTAGACCCAAAATTGAAAACCAACCCATTTTTATTTTAAACCCACCTGAAACCCATTTGACCCAAATTATAACACCCATCTTCCTTAATTCATACAAATTGAATCTGCCAAGATAATGGTCTCTCTAAATTTTTTAGATCTTCCATGACCTTTGCACATTAAAAGCATTACTAAAATAAGTCAAGATCCTAACAACAACAATTAAAAACATTACTAAAATAAATTTGGGTCAAAGGGTTTCGGGTGGGTTAAAAATAAATATGGGTTATGTTTTAAATTGGGTCTAATTAATTGGTCAAACGGGTCTCTCTGTAGGATTGCGTCACGTGTTCATATTTGATCTTCCGTTAGAAAGAAGGGTAAATGCGTTCTAAATTTTTAACAGCAGGGGCATTGATGTACCAAAAGTATGACGGAGGGTATATGCATACCATTTACGATAGTTTGGGGATATATTTGTCCTTTTTCCCTTTGCTAATTTTGAACCTTAATAGAAATGGTTTGTAAACTTCTGTGGCTAATGTTGCTTGTATTTCCTCTTCCTGGGAACTTTTGAAGAAGAAATTTCCTCTGCAGAGGATTTGAAGGTTATGGGTTCCAAATAGGAGCCTGTTTGGATCGTCTTATTCTAAGTGCTTTAAAGCCAAAATCACTTTATTAACACTTTTGTGGTGTTTGGGTAAAATAAGAAAGTGCTTTTAAGCACCTTTTGTTAAGCTAAAAAGACAAAATAAGCTAAAATCCATAAGTGAGAATTACTAACTTATGAGTCAAAAGCTATAAGCTCATCCAAATAGGCTCTAGAGTTTGCTTATCGGTTGATTCGATTCATTTTTTATATGTTATCCGTTCGGTTTATCGGTTATCGATAATCAAACCAATACGATATCCATCACGTTTAAGTGGTTTGCAGTGCTCAACGATTTGTTATCGGTTTAAACGATAATAAAATGGCTACTAGGTGCCAACCTTTCAGTTATCAATTAACTGATGAACCAATATCAATAACCTATAAATTTTTATGATTCAATTCATCGGTTAAACCAAAATTTGCACACTCCTATTTCTAGCAATTTCAAATTAACATACAATAGTTACCAAATGAAGCACTGGATGTTCAATATATATTTAAAAAGTAATAAACTGTGATATATCATGACAATAGTTAGAAAAATTAAGAGAAATTTTATTTTAGTATAAGTGGAAAATAAAGAACGAGGAAGAAGAATGAAGGACTTGACAAGGCTATGCAACAGCAACATGGAAGAATCAACAAGTTTTTCTTACTTTTCATTTTCTCTTTAATTTCAAAATTAATTTGAATTTGAGTAATACTTTCAGCAAGTTATAAATTTGGTTGTGATATCTTTTTAGTTTGGCCGTTGTTGGCATTAAAAAGTAAAAAGAGAAATAAAATGAGGCCAACTTTTTTTTTCTTTTTTAAACGAGTGAAATGAAATGTGACCAGCGGAATTGATCCCTGGTTCAAGACTGGGCAAAGATTCAGCTGGTTCCACATTCTCCACTGAGCTAACAACAGAACTTATGGCTTGGTTCCCTACTCCATTTTGTTTTACATTTAAAGGGTTTAACATTATAGATAGAAGGTTCAGGTGAAAGTTACTGGTTTCCGGGAACCCACATAGGAAACTGTAATCTACCCCTACTCCACTGATATTTTCATTTGCTTATTGTGGCCGTTTTGCAGTCTGAGGAGAAGATAAGGGTGCTTCATGAAAGGAAATCTGAAAAGCTGAAGAGGCTAGATCAAAAGGGTGCTGAGGCTCACAAGGTTGACATGACAAGACAATTGGTTAGAAGTCTCTCCACAAAAATTAGAATTGCGATTCAGGTTGTCGATAAGATTTCTGAGAAGATAAACAAGATGAGGGATGAAGAGTTATGGCCGCAACTGAATGTACTTATTCAGGGGTATGTCTTTTTTCTGAGTCTCTATTTTGATAACCTGTGTTTTTTCTGAATCTTCTGGATTAAATGGATACCTTATGTTTAATGATATATAAAAGAACTCTATGTCTGCTTTGTCAAAAAAATAATAAAAGAAATCTCTGTCTGGATTGGCTATCATTAGAGTTCTGTAGATGCACTAGATGGAAGAGAAAAAGTATTGGTTTGCCACATTTTGTTACTGTTTCTGATTTGTAGTCCAAGGTTATTGTTATGACATCATTGTACACCTCCAAGCTACTGCACCACTAAAGTCTTGTATATTGATCTCCCTGAATGATTTCAAGAAATTGATTTGGATTCAAATGCGATGTTCTTGTTTCGTGTATCATTCCTGTGGCCGACAACCTATAGAGATTGAAGCTTTTATAACTTTTTCATTAGCAATATGGTAATTGCATAAATGCAAAATTCAGACTGGCTTGTTTATTCCTGGTTTTGAGGGATCAGAGAATGTTTTGTAATTTGAGAAACATCCTTTTAATCCTAGTTTCTTTTGAAACACACATGGTTCCAATTGGTATAGAAGATTAGGTGTCTTCCATTGAAATTTATGTATTTTTGTAGGTCTTCTACTTTTCGGTATACCACTTGTATAGGCGAGGTTTCTTGTGCTCCCAGATTTTATTGAGCGTATTAGACTCACTTTTTTTTTTTGAAAAAAAGAGTTGCTTGTTTGTTAGGATGTGGAAGCTATGACGTACATATTTAGCCTTTACAAACGCACCTTATATTGTATTATTGGAAAGTCAAGGGTGGATGAACGTATAGCTGCTTGTGAAATGTGAGACTGCTGAAGAGGACTCTTGCTTTCTCTAAAAACTGAATGCAATATATGGAGTTGCAAATGCATAAGTCAGTTACAGCTGGGCAATCTATTATGGGATGCTGGGGTTTATCTTGATATAATGTCTATTCCTAGTACTGTCGGATTGTTGGAGAATTGTCAGATGATATTTTATCTCTTTTAGGCCAAAATAGTTATCTAATGCAAGTTTCTCTTATGTGGATTCTCTATTTAGGTTAAGTAAAATGTGGAAAGGCATGCTTGAGTGTCATCGTAACCAATGCCAGGCTATTGGAGAAGCCAAAAGATTAGATGCCATTGCATCTCACAAACACTTGAGTGATGCTCATCTTGAAGCCACTCTGCAGCTTGAACATGAGCTTTTGAACTGGACTTTGAGATTCTCTTGCTGGGTGAATGCACAGAAGGGCTATGTGAGAGCACTAAACACTTGGCTCATGAAATGTCTTCTGTATGTGCCCGAGGAAACAGCCGATGGAAGAGTTCCCTTTTCTCCAGGCAGAATTGGTGCTCCCCCAATTTTTGTCATCTGTAATCAGTGGTCACAAACCATTGAAGGAGTTTCTGAGAAAGAGGTTATTGACTGTATGCGAGATTTTGCATCAAATGTCCTTCAACTCTGGGAGCGAGATAAGCATGAAATGCGGCAAAGGATGATGGTGCACAAGGATATGGAGAGAAAAGTGAAGAACCTTGAGAGGGAGGATCAGAAGATACAAAAGGGGATTCATGCACTGGACAAAAGAATAGTACTCATTTCTGGGGATGAAACTGGTCTCTCATTAAATAGGCATGTCGTTTACCAGAGTGACACAAGCAAAAATAGTAGCCTTCAGGTCGGTCTGAGACATATTTTTGAGGCCATGGAAAGGTTTACTGCCAAATCCTTGAAGGTGTATGAGGAACTTCTACAACGCATTGAAGAGGATGATCTGGCTTAAAGAGCATGAGAAATTGGTATAGCCGCTACCTTGAGAAGGTTATGTCTTCCAGACAGAGGACAATGTGAAATGGAGCAACGAAAACCTTGTTGTCTTTCTCTGCTCTTGCTGTAGCATCATCACAGCTGATCAGTTTCAGTTCGGTAAGCGGGGTCATGGAAGAGGTAATTCCTGATGATGTGCCTTTTGTGGTTGTTGCAATGGCATCTTTTTGCCAATGTCAGAACAGATATTCTTGAATCTCCTGTGTTAGAAGTCTCCCCGGATGTTGAATATTGCAGTAATTGATGCATCAGCAAGTATCCTGTTTTTCAGTGGTAAGGATCCATGCCAGACTGGCTGTGAACCTGAAACAAGATGATTAAATACCCTAGGATGGCCATCAATCCTCAAGTCACTAATGTGCTTACAAAAGGGGACCTGAGCTAGTGGAGATGTATAAATTCTAAAATGCTATGACTACTCTGGGGCTAAATGCAAGTATATTTATGGTTGGGGACATTATATGACATGCTATGACTACCTTGGCGCTAAGTGGCATGGTGGTTGTTTGCCCCATTGACACCATTGAGGCTTGAAGTGCACCCTACATGTTGGCCAGCCAGTCCCTGTGGCAAGTTTGGTAGCCACCGACCGACTAAATTGAGCCAGACGGAGAACTCTGTGCTCCTGGAGCTGCTATTGGGTTTGGTATTTTGATGATTGTTAGAGATATATGTGCTACGGCAGGCCATGTTCATGTATAGATTGGCTGCACTCTTGTGATAATTGCAAATAAGCGAAGTAGGGGTGGTATCTCTAAACTGTAAGCAGCAGGGGCCATCTAAGGAAAAAAAAGCATGAAGAATGGCTTATTATAGTTGGGCGTTTTTCAGTTGGATTGATGAGAAGAAGCTGTTTGGTAACACAAGTCATTGAGACTGCTGGTTGTCTGGCACCAGACCTGCCTGAGAACAGAGAGATAATACTTGTAACTTGTAAGTAAGTTGTATTCAGATTGTTCTTTAAATTCTGATAATAATCTGTGTCTTAAATTTTGTGTACATAGGACTGGGTAGATATATATATATATATATATATATATATATGTTTTTTATACTATATAGATATATAGTGCATTCTATCGGACGTAGGAGCAGAAACAGTAATAACATTTTGCGGTACTGTTCAAATTAATTGATTTGAGTCTATGTGTTAAATTTATCAAAACCCATTTATGTGTGTATGTATACTTTCCAGAAATAGCGTCGCAGATGATACATAACGTTCTTGCCAACTAAGATCATAATAATGTGCTACAGGGCACGACAGTAACAAAGTTAACATGTAACAAACACGCCACTGTTCGATTAATCAATAAAAACATGGACGAATAATAAGGCAAGTCATGGTGCCTTCCCAGTATGATGGACATGTAATAGTTGCAAAAATAACCCCAACACTCCTCTTACGAATATATTGATGGAATTTTTGTTACAAGCATAGGTGAATAAATTTTAATTCGATCATATCACTAGTGAATGACTATATTGTTTTTTCCATGTAGTCAAAGCCGGGTGAGAATCCCAAATGATTTTACAACTACTGTAAAGAGATAATATTTTCCTTTCACAAGTACGTACTATATTAAAAAAAAAAAAGGACTTGAGTGATAATAGAGTTTAGAAAAATGTCAGTGAGAAGGAAAATGTCGTGCGCCAAAACCATCCGCCGTCTCCGGCATCAGCCCCGCCGCAAGGACGATACTGATTCCCTTGTCAAGGATGATCCGTTGGAAATCCTATCTAATCTATGGATCAAAAGTTTTTCTCAACCCCAAAAACCCTTCACTAACCTCACTGGCTTTCTCTCAAAACTCGATCTCTGGGTCCTCGCTTACCAACGCACATATGCTCATCTCACTGGTTCTTTCCCCCCTCGGAATGCTATCCAAGCTCATGTTCTATCCGACCTCTTATCCCTCCGGAATACAGTTATCCATGGAAAGTTCCTTTGGCATACAAAAATCCATCAATATATTCGTGGCCCTAACGAAAAACCCATTACTGAGCAGCTTTCCAGGAATCAGCTCCAATCTATACTCACATCCAAAACGCCGCCCTTTCAGGATGTTGTCGTACAACAAGCTTTACTTATGATAGTGGAACCCATTTTTGAGCCTAGGTTTTCATCAAAATCTCATGCTTTTCGCCCTGGAAGGAATCCCCATACTGTTATTAGGACCATTAGAAGTAATTTTGCTGGTTATTTGTGGTTTCTGAAAGGTGATATTACTGAGGTTTTTCATAACGTTGATGTTGATGTTGTTATGGCTAGTCTCGAAAAGGCTGTCAAGGATAAGAAGGTGTTGAACTTGATAAAGTCAGGGTTGAATGCTCGTCGATGTGGAGAAGAGGGTGAAGAAGAAGAAGATAGCAGGAAGAGAAAGAAGGGGCGGACAAAAAAGAGGATTTTAAATGAGAATGAGCCCAAGCCAGACCCTTATTGGTTAAGGACATTCTTTGAGTTTGCTCCACAGGAGGCTTCTAAGATACCCAGTTATGGTGGTTGTGGAATTCTTAGTCCTTTGTTGGCTAATGTATGTCTTAATGAGCTTGATCATATGATGGAACAGAAAATAGTTGAGTTCTTTAGGCCGTGTGAGCGAGACACCATATGGAAATATTCTATGGATGATGCTTGTCATAATCCAGCTTGGCCTGAGTTTGTTCCTTCAAGTGGAAAAGAGAAGACGAGGAAGATGGATTTTATAAGGTTTGGGGGTCATTTCTTGGTTGGGATTCGAGGGCCTAGACAAGATGCTGTGGAAATGAGGAAAGAAATAATCGAATTTTGTGAGAGAATTTTCGGGGTCAGGTTGGACAATTCAAAAATAGAGATTGAGCATATTTCTAGGGGAATTCAGTTCCTGGATCATATTATTTGTCGTCGTGTTATTTATCCAACTCTACGTTACACAGCCAGTGGTGGTAATATAGTGAGCGAGAAAGGTATAGGTACTTTGCTTTCAGTCTCTGCTAGCTTGCAACAATGTATTCACCAGTTTCGAAAGCTCAAGCTTGTGAAAGGTGATAAGGATCCAGAGCCACTGCCTTGCACACCTATGCTTTACTCTGGTCAAGCTCACACTAATTCTCAAATGAACAAATTCCTTGAGACAATGGCTGATTGGTTCAGATATGCAGATAATCGGAGAAAAGTTGTTGGCTTTTGTGCATATGTGGTTCGTAGCTCTCTGGCTAAGTTATATGCTGCTAGGTATAGGCTGAAATCTCGTGCCAAGGTTTATAAGATTGCTTCGCGCGATTTAAGCAGTCCATTGAGGGAGCACACCAACAATTCTGCACCTGAGTATTCAGATCTCTTGAGAATGGGACTTGTTGATGCTATTGAAGGTGTTCGGTTTTCCCACATGTCTTCAATCCCGTCATGTGATTACACTCCATTTCCAAGGAATTGGATCCCTGATCATGAGAAGGTGTTGCATGAGTATATCAACTTACAGGACCCAAAGTTTTTCTGCCAGCTCCACAAGTCAGTTAAACAGCATGGTATGTGTTTTCCTCAAGATGAGATATCTCATATTGTGTGGCAGTATAAGACTCTTGGGGTGCGAAGCTTGTCGCAGAGGTTATGTGATGACAAGAGGATGGGAAATGCTTATGACAAAGTAATGGTGGCATCATCATGAACGTGGCATGAAATATGAAAGTTTATCAACATGTATTGCTATTGATGGTGCCAACTGACTTCTTATTTTTCTGAAGCTATCTTGATGGATGATATTAAAGTTGAAAGTTGATCTTATTAAACAATCCTGGACTGCAGATTAAGCTTGATTACAGTGAACAGATTCCTTTATAAAGCTTTTTCAGTAATGAACTAAGGATTCAATTTGTCAATACAGATTTATGAGACCATTTTTAGTACAGTACGTCTTCTTGTGAAATTCTGTTCTTATGGTTGAGAGCTGTGAGGAATAGCTGCTCCAAGTAAGCATCTGTAATTTGAATGAGCTTCTGAAAGCCTCAAATTATTGACAAACGACATATGTGCTTTTAGCTTTAGACTAATATACTCGTCATCTCCATGCCCCCTACCGCAAGAAGAATAGTTTTGTTTTAATTGCATATATAAGTTGGACGAGTTCCATCCGAGACTTACATTCTAAACACTACAGAAATCTTATTTTAGCTTTTTCCTTAAACCCTAGCCTGCACATATATTCCCCATGGAAACTGTGTGATCTGCTGTAATGGGATGAAAAAGAGCATATCACTCCAAAGCTGTACTGAAGTTATGGCTATGACGTGATAAATGTAACCAACAAAAAGAAAAGTTGCATTTCTTGTTTTTTGCTGCAGCAAGAAAAAGGTTCATCTTCAGCTCCATCTACTATATAGTAAACAGAGAGCTTGAGGACTGCCTGCATATTTTCTGAAGACGGATGAATAGTAAGCTGTGTGAATGCTTCCACAAACAATGGCTCCTCGCTCTTGGGCATTTTTCAGTTGGACCGAGACTACTCAGTGGAATGAGAAGAGTCTGTTTGGTGATGCAAGTCATTGAAACTGCTGATTGCCTGGGACCAGACCTGCCTGAGAGGAGAGATATAATACTCGTAAGTTAGTTTTATTCAGATTGTTGTACACAGCCTTGTTCTTCAAATTCTGATAATAATCTGTATCTTAAATTATGTGTATATAGGACTAGATAGATGACCCAAATACATTTTTATGATAAATATATGGTGCATTCTGTCCGACATGGGACCAGTAATAGCAATATCAGCGCAGTATAACATTTTGCAATATTCAAAATTTGTTGATTGAGTCATTATTCATCCCATCTGTCTATTCTATCTTAAATTTATCTAAACCCATCTGTCAGATACACACTTTCACAAATGATGTTGCACATTAGTGAAGTATTGGGGTGAAGTGAATAGTCAGGACATGGCACAGCCTTGGCTCACATAGGATATGATCTTGACAGGAGGGTGTGGAGGTTGAGGATTAGGATAAAAGGTTAGTAGATAGTCGAGTGCTTTATTTTCTCATTTCTTGGAGAACTAGTATTAGTGTTGTATTTTTGTATTTTAGTAGATAGTCGAGTGCTTTATTTTCTCTTCCAGAAGCTTAGTGGACTTCAATGTAGCAGAACAACTCAAGATTCTTGTTGTCTCTAGGAGTTATCAAGGACACAAACATCGCCTAAGTGGTAGCTTGATATAACTATATTAGTATATCATCCATGTGCGTTGTGTTATTGCATTAAGATAGGCTTTTCTTGGCTTGAAGAGTTGTCAATTTTCTTTTTGGTAGGAGGAGGAGGCAGCGAATGCCACAAAACATCGCCTAGAATAAGTTGCCTGTTAGATCTAGATCCAACTCATGATCATCAGGTCCCTATTCTCTACTTCTATATATGAAAAGAAGTACAACTTGAGAACATAGAATTGGACCTTTCAATTCAACAAGGAAAAACAAATATGGCTTTGAGATCAAAAAACCACCCTAAAGCATGCTCGTTCTAGCAGCTTTCCCTCTATATCTCACCCTATTGTATCTCAATTCGATGAGCAACTGTCTAGACTTACATCTTCTTCAGTGGCTACTTCTTCCTCCCTTTCATCTTTCACTTGTAGATTTGGTGATCTTGAAAACTTATCGGATTACACACAAGATTTGCTTCAACTACCACACGTTCAACAAGCCATTTCACTGAACATTGATGAGGGGTACCTCAAGGTATTAGACATGTGTGCCACCATCAAAGATCTTTTGTCTAATGATCATGAAAAACAAAACAGACAACACCTTCTTTCAGCTCTTCGTAGAAGATGACATTTCTGGCTATTTAACCTCTAGAACAAGTCCAAGAAGATGATCCAAAAACTTGTTAAAAATTAGCATGATAACTTGGCATCAACCTCTGCTGTTGTTAGAGAATTGCAGGATGTCCAGTTAGTCACTCTAGGACTATTTAAGGGTTTGTTGTCCTATGTCAATGGAACAGGATCGTAGTTGGTCCTTGTTGTCCAAGATTATGATCTCAAAAAGTGAAACCAATGAATTCGACAATGTTGATGCTGCTTTGTTCTCACTTCTCAGTCACAACAAGGCCAGCAAATATGAAGAATTGACGAATCAGTTGCGAGAAATGGAGGTAACCATTGAGGTTGTTGAACAAGGGCTTGAATGCTTTTTCAGGCGTTTAATCAAAACCCGAGTGTCCCTCCTCAATGTTTTGAATCACTAGCTAGTCAAGCTATATATATATATTGATGTTGCCTATCCAAAAGTTTTGTACTACAGTAACACATGTACTTTTTTTTAAAATTATTATTATAATATACATCAAAATGAAATACAAGATCAACTTCATTTTTTTCTTATTGTCAAGTTGTAACGATTCAAAAAAAAAAGAGAATTATGTAAATAAGAATAAATAGGTATTTAAGGGCATAATTGTCCTTTCACGTTTTAAATGAATAAATAAATAAATAAATAAAACAGATTTGTATTTATTTATTTTAATGTTATTTGACTAATTCTTGAATTAGTCTCCTAATCCAATTAGCCCTCTCTCTCTCACGCTTCTAAACTCCCTCTCTCACGTTCTCCATCTTCCTCACATTATTTCTGCCAAAATATCAATAATTTTCATGCTTGAAGAACTCACAAAAAAATTTTTTAAGCAAAAGAAAAAGTAATCAAAACGTCAAGGCTAAGAGAGGTATACTTTGAAGTGAATTGGGAGTGGTTTGGAGGAGTTTTCCGGGCAGCAACATTAAAGTTTGAACATCGATTAAGGTATGAGTTTCTCTCATGGAATTCTTTCTCCAAGAGTACTTTCTTTCGGACGTTTCTTAAACTCTTGAAACTAAGGTTGTTCCCCTTCGTATGTCCTTGTCCTTAGCTCCCTAATGAATTTGTAGGATGGGTATGTTGTGCTGCTAGATTTTTGCATGAATGATGTGTTTAAATTAAATATGAGTGTGTTTATGTGCGGGAAATCGCGATAATGATCATCAGAATATGACCGGAAAAAGTTGATGTATGGGTGTGTATAGGGCAGTGTTTTAGGCATTGTTTTGGGGTATATAAGTTGTTTATTTATCATGTATTTTATGTGTGAAATGGGTGTGCAATGTGATGTTCATTTTGATGAAGCATAGTGAAGTGAATGAACCATGAAATCTCCCTAAGAACTAATGTGAAACTTGATGAAAAAGTGCAGAAAAAATAGTGGAATAAATTTCCAAAAACATAGAAATAGGTTTAAAAAGAATCTGGAAATTTTTGGATGTCAAAGAATTAAAAAAAAATAGAGGGGCTGTGGGGGTTCGAACCCACCACCTCACAGCCTCCTCTTCAGCGAAAATGAGAGGAAAAATAAGGGGGCTGTGGGGGTTCGAACCCACAACCTCCCTATTCAAGCGAATTTAATTAAAAATAATAATAATAGTAAATTAAAATTCTAATTAAAGTTGGAAAATTAATTCTCTTATGTAAACATTGAGATTTAATTTAGAATTTTAATTAAAAATAGAATATTAATTCTTTTATGTAAATATTGAGATTTAAATTGGAATTCTAATTAAATTAGAAAATTATTCTTTCATGTAAATGATTGAAATTTAATTTAGAATTCTAATTAAAATAGAAAATTTATTATTTCACGAAAATGTTGAGACTTAACTTAGAGTTCTAAATTTATGAATATTAGAACAAAAATCAATGAAAAATATAAATGATATCCAAATAATTCAAAATTTGGGTTCTCGTGTCCAAACCTCCGTATTGATACATAAGTCATACGTGAGTGAAATATTCAAGAATAATGTCATCTACGTAGATCAAAAATCAAAGATCTTGGCATATATACAAGATACATAAGTCTTGTAATACATAATCTTAGAAAAACAAGAATTCACTTAACGAACTATAAATGAAGCCTCATGGCTTGTATGTATAGATATATAAGTTTAACATACGTTCAAGAATAAGTGAACCTAAGATATACGTAATGAAATGAAGAATGTGGTGACAATCATGATGTGAGGTTAATGCGTATGATGAGAGCAATCTTAAATGAGCTTAAGTAAATGTTACCGATACATACTCACCAATGAGAGTGTAAGATAATGAAGAGACCAGTCTCTATGAATACTCTAATAAAAATATTGAGTTTAAAACACTTAATACTAATGATGAGATGAGAAATCATCTATTGAGCTATGATGTCTTCATACTAGAAGCAAACTTCTATGATGTATGAGTTGCATGTAATGGAACTTTATACCGAGCACCGATAGGCTAGCTATGAGTGGTGATGCCTTCTTTCGGGAAGGGCGGAGGTTCACGTAATTCTCATGAGATGAGACTGTCCGGCTTGCCGGGTATGGGTCTCCACACATCTCCTAGTCTTTGAACCTATATTGCCACTATAGGGATCTGGCGGGGTTAAATTCCCATATACGCTAGCATGTTATTTGAATCGCTTTGGCCGGTGATTCCACCTCTTTTCGGTGTGGGGAAGACACTGGATTTCATGATGCTCACATGATCTATGTCGGTTAAAGTTAAAGTTCCCAATGAATGAATGAGGCCAGCCTCAAATGAATCATATAAAGAAATGAATGATACCGAAGGTGTTAGGATAGGATAATCAAGAGGTGAGCTAGATTCAGGTAATGACATTAGGTCATTCCTGATCATTGCACAGCAAACCCGATGAAAGTCTTAAACTACATCCTAGGTATAGCTGGTGTTCGCACTGGCCTATGAATGAATTGAAATGAAATACGAATGAATGAGTGAAGCAGACTCTGTGTTTGCTAAAGAAGGCTCCCTAGTTGAGGTCCCATATGTTGAGCCCTCATTTTGGAAAGTCTTAAAGTTAAGTCTATGATAATAAGGTCTCATGGTATACGAATGAATAATATGAAAGAAAGTATGTGTTATATGTTATGTGTTATATGAATATGTTATGTTTTGTGTGCTATACGATAATTATAATGATGCATGTCACTCTCATGGCATAACTTTCCCAATCTCAATTTGGCAAGTCCACTGACTTGACTTCCAAAAATCATGTTGTTAGGAAAGAGCTATTCTTCCTCATGCATGTCCCTGGTGTGTACTTGCATATACTCATACTTAGTACAAGTGTGTACTAATTCCATACGAACATCTATTTTTAGGTGCAGGCACAGGTGGACGCTAGAGCTACAGGTTCGTTGTTGCAGCTATCCGGACATCAGTATTCATCCGGAGTTTGGTAGGTCCTCATGCTTTCGAGGATGCTACTGTTTTACATTCTAGCGTAGTTTTAGAGTTGAGCTAGCGGAACATGTTCCACTAGCGTTTCTTTCCTGTTTTGGTTCAAACTTTGTATTGGTGCTATTTTGGCCGATATACAATTAATACTTAATGAATTATTTCTTTCAGTTGCTTATCTCTTAAATGTTAGATGGTTGATGATGAACGATTACGAAATGTTAAGAATGTTCAGCAAGTATGATTAAAGAATCAAAAATTTCAAATTTTCCGCTAAAATTAATCTATGTAAAGTAAGAATGACGTAAGCAGGCTTGTCTGCGACCTCTGAGAGGTCAACGACGCCGGTCTCGTCTGGGGTCTAGATTCCGGTCGTGACACAAGTTCTGCTACTGCAACAGTCTATCACATTTCATCTACTGTACTCGGTTAGAATCAATCTGTTTTACCATAGGTTTTTCAACAGAATTGTTTTGTACATTAAAAATGGTAGACCAATTCATCATTTCATGTGTGGAGAGTTGACAAGATTCTTTTTCCGTTGCAAACGTTTCAACAATGCCTTTCTATTTAATTAGCACTTCAAATTGAGTAGTTGTGTGCGGATCTATAGATGACACTGCTGAAACATCGCCCAAGTGATAGCTTCACAAAAATCACTTGTCATTATTTGTATTATGTTGTTTATTTGGTTGACAAGATCCATGAAAATTTAAAATTAATACTCATGCTTGTGGCAGAGCACAAACATCATCTAATTTAATTGGTATCCACGTCAGAGTCAGATCTCATAAATTGCACGAGTGGCTTTTATGAATGCAGAGTCTTGAACAATAATATCTTGGTTGTTAGATGTAGATCAAATTTAAGATATATTTCAAACAAGAGCACAGCTTGAAGTTTGGACCTTCGGTACCTCAAGCTGTTGGACGTTTGTGCCACCATCAAAGATCTCGTGTCAAACGAAAAACAACACCTTCTTTCAGCTCTTGGTAGGAGGAGGAACATGAACATGAACATGGATGACATATGAAGTAGCTACCAAACGTCTACAAAGAAGATGATCCAAAAGACTTGCTCACTCTAGCTAGGCCTATTTAGGTCTTTATTGTCATATATCAATGGAAACGGATCTCAATTGGTCAGGAATCATCTAATGTTGATGCTGCTTTAATTTGTGGTCTAAGACTGACGAATTGCAGAATCAGTTGCGACAGATGGAGGCAACGATTGAGGTTGTTCAACAAGGGCTTCAATGTTTCCAATGTTGAAAAAAACGCAGACAAGCAAAAAAAATATATATGGTAAAAGTAATGGAAATAAAATGGAAAAATAACGATATCAAAAATTTTACGTGGAAATCTGTCTAAATAAGAAAAAACAACGGGCCAAGAGAAACAACTGATATCACTATAGTAAGGAATTTTAGATTGTGTAGTCACGAATACAGTACTCAAAGTGACTACTATACACTCAAAAGGAACAACACTCTTTTGATTTCCACGTGTGACTATTTTTCTTGTATAGTTTATGAAATACCTCACTTTGTTCTCAAAATGAATTTTCTCTCTAACTTGGTGTGTTCTACAAATGAGCAAGAATGCTTTATATATAGAACAAGAAAATCATGTCTATGCCACTAATTACATAGGTAAATATAACAAAGTCAAAAAAGGGTTGCAAATCTTATCAATTTGTCAACCACCAAATTATTTATTTTCAACTCTAATTACTATTCATTTTTAATAATTACTTTTAACAATTAAATAACAAAAATTGACCAAAAATATGAGATGAACTCCATATCGAATCATCACTAGTTAAAGTCAGGGCACTTTTGCACCACACTGAAACTAGTACTTGTAAATTCATATAAACCAACATCACAAATATCTCAACTATGGAGATTAAAATGAATGCGTCTCCGCTGCTTTTCCAACATAATTTTAGATTGCTAAATAAATATTTGGAAACCAGCTGCATATCTTTTGTTTATGCATATCAATTCATTCTTATCTTTGATTAATTAATTGTATATAAATGAAATGTATAGCAAAATGAAAATTTGTTTCTAAGGTATAATTT